CCAGACCAAATCTTGACGATTGACTATTATATTGATTTTCGAAAGGTTTGACTATTAATTTATTTAAAATGAAAGATTGCTTATTATATTATAGGTTAAATACACTTGTATATCCAAAACTTTCACGGTTGTGCCAATAATATTCAAATTTCCCGAAATACCACTTATATCCATGTTTTAAAGTTGTTCTTTGCCAAATCTATCTATTTTCCAATATATTTTTGGTTAAATACACTTGTATATCCAAAAACACCGTTAAAGAATGTGAAGGAATTGAATATAATGGTATTTCGGGAAATTAGATATTATTGACACAACCGTGAAAGTTTTGGATATACAAGTGTATTTAACCTATATTATATTACCTTTAAAATTAAGACCAATTGGAAAAGTCCTATCAAAGCAAAACAATTGAAAAAGTAAAGGAAGTCACTTCTCCGCCTCCTCTCAGTCCCTTCTAATCATGTGTTTTGGACTTTTGGTTAGCAATTAAAAGAATTAAAACAAATGGAGCCAATTACTAAGCGCCACGCGAGCGGGCAGCAGCTAGACCCTGCAAACTGGGTTACTGCTAAGTTTTGCTCCAAATCTTATACTTTAATTTGACCCATCACTTGCATTGCCTGCTATAATACAATAATAATAAATAATGACAAGACTTTGGACTTTCCGTTCTTCTCGATCCCTCTGTGTCGTCCCTGTTCACGCTGTGCACGTAAGCAAGCAACAGCAGCAGTTGTAATACTGCGTAGCAAGCTGTTAGCTATATATTAGCTTCTTCCTTCTTAATTCCAACCTTTCTCTCAAATATTTACTTTCTATGCAATGTCTGGGAAAGAAAGAGAAAAGGCAATGGTGGGAAACATGGAGTAGCCCACATTAACTCCATTTCTTCCTTCTCAATACCATATCCCACTTGGGTCAGAACGTTACCCGACTCTATATTGGTTCTAAAGATTAATTGACCCTACCCAACCTACATAGTTGGACCGGGCCAGGCTGGGCTGATGGATAGTAAGGGCCACAGTTACAGGCTTACAGCCCTAATGCTTACTCGATCCCTTACACCATCTTGTTCTCTTCTGCCAAGTCAAAATGCAATTTGCTATATTGCTTGCAAATCAATTGAATCATCCTGGCCCCAATCCTTTGTTGATGGTATTATCGTTTCATGTACCCATTTTACCATCAAGAATAGGTAGGTCATTGTGTCCAACCCAATACACTCGTCGATCCTTTAAAGTTTTGACATAGTATTGGGTGAGACGAATTTGTTCCAATAACTTTAGTTGTTGAATTTGAAAAACAAAACGAGATCTTTTGATTATGGTGATTTGGTAAGTTTAGTTATTTCTAATAAAGTGTATGCCTATATACTAGACACATTGATAATTTTCATTTTTTACTGTGAGAGCATATATGCATTCAATGTAAGTTGTGGGTAAAAGACATATCGACCAATTTGGCGCCTATTCTATCTCTTTGTATATCGTGTCCTTCACTTCTTTGGCTGTGTTTTCCCCTAGCTGGGGTTTGAATTCATGGATAGGATGGAATGCAGCTTTCTAGGAATTGATCACAATCCCCACCCATTTCAGGCTAACCATAAACCAAAATAAATGCCCACTGCAAAAACCTATTGAAACAGCCCCATTCCTGGAGCTCTTAAAAAGTTGTCCACAATTATCCCTCCCCCATTCCTATTTCCATCCCCAAGAACATTAAAAACCCATCAAAACTGTGCAACAAGTAGTGCAGGCTATTTGGTTCGGGTAATTTTGGTTATACCCGAAATCGGACCGTATAACCCGGACCGAGACCGGATGGTAAACAATCCAATCCAATCCATTCTTTGGGCTTAGATTTGAGGTAAAAAACCGTTCAGGACCGGATCAAAAACTGAATAAAGACCGGATAAGAGAGCTCAACACCCAAAAATTAAGGGTAATTTGCATAAACAGTCACAAACTTTTGCACTTAGTACAAAACTTAACCAACTCCTTACCCTTTCAGGCCTTAGGCCACTCAAATCCCCACAAGCTCAATATAAAAGCAAGACAGAATTGGGACCGGACCGGGTCAAGACCGGACTGTATCCAATCCAATCTTTGGTCCTTATATTTTCAAATAGACCAGACTGGACCAGATCAATTTGGATCAATTTAACCGGACCAGACCGTACGTATAGCCACCCCTATAGCAACAAGTTGACTTGTCGCATACATCATCATAAACAAAAAAAAAAATGGTTCGTTGGATTGCATCCCCTAGAGAAGCCTTGGATTTGAATTAGTACAAAGGGTTGGGTGACTTGGTCCACATCGAACTTAATTACACAACTTTTTTATTCAGCAGACTTCAAATACGATAAATGCGTTAAGATTCACGAAGAATGTCATCATGGTTCAATTATGGGTGGCTTACATGAGTCTTCAATTTGAAAACCCACTTCTTAATATAAATTAAAAACTTAGCTGATCATTCTATCTGGATATTTCCATCAGAAATGAGAAAAGAATTTCAGAGAATTAGACACTAGACAGAGATATATGTGGTAAAAGAAGAAACGCATAGACTAAGGCGGGATTCCCGCGGGTTCCAAAACAATGATACAGAAGGAAAGGAAGGATCCTCCCTTCTTTCCTTTCCTTTCCTTTGGACCAGTCAGTCCTCACCTAAATGCATTTCCTGTTTTCTTTAACTTAAGAATACATTACTATAATGTATATATATAGCACAACAATTTCATCTATATTAGTATTATAATGAATATTAGTTAGGAATTTATGGGGAAATCTGGGCACACGTGGCAAGGAAGAGGTTGACATGTCAATGGCGGGGAGAGGGTTTTTTGTGGGATACAGTCAAAGACGAAAGGTCAGTACTGTCAGAAGAAGCACACAAATTGACAATTGATAACAGGAAACCCCATTTTATTTATTTATTTTCTTATATTGTTATAAAGAATGAAAAACAGAGAGAAGAAGGGAGGGAAATGATTTTGCAATCGATTGCTTTTTGATTGACGCCTCGCTGACACTACTTTACTGTAGCATAGACAGAGAGAGGGCAATGGTGTCAGCAGCAGCAGCAGCAGCAGCAGCTTTGTCCTTTCACTTCTCTCTGGAATTCTCGTCTGTTTCCTCCCACAATTCTCTCTGCAAAAATACATTTTGACTGCACCACCTACCCAAGTAAAAACCACCACAGTTACTGCTGATGAACAGGATTCATAAGGACTAGGGAGTAGGGAGGGAGACATCATATATATATATGCACAGGAATTTCATCACCTTTATTAAGCATGCTTATGTTCCGAGTTTAACCAATACTAATTAAGTTGTCTCCCTTTTCGGTATATTGAGTTTTGGCCCAAAACGCTTCAACAGGCAAACGAATCCAAAATACAGAAGCCCGCTTCGATTCATTACATAGGCTCATCGTCCTCTCTTGATTTCGGTTGAGACCCATATTTCAAATTTTCTTCCCCCTTCTATCTTAGCTATACTGATGTTGCTTTCTCCAAAATTTCACTACTTTAGTTAATGACGGGCAACCATGACAAAGCTTTGATCTTACCCCATAAAAGGAAAAAGGGTTGAGTAGGTAGGGAAAGAAACCCATTTTGAATAAGAGGAGAGTGTGCACAGACATACTAATTGCCCTCCCCTAAAACAGAAGAAAGTGATATGTAAAAGAAAATCACTCTCCAACTAAGGGTGGAGAGGTTCCTTTCAAAAGTTTCTAACAACCACTTTAATGGAGAGCTTGCTGGTAAAGTGAACTTGTCAGGAAGCTTCTTTTGCTCATTTATAGGGAGTTTTTGGCTTCCTTTTCACTTTTGCTAATTCCCCGTACATGGCATATTTGAACTATCTTTTGGGTATTCCTCCATTTGTGTGTGTGTTTGTGTTGTAGTAGTAGTACTTCTTCCTCCTCACTTCTTCAATGAATGATGGCGATCTCTCATGCATAGCTAGTTACCCCCGTACTACTCCTTGTTTCTAGTTACGGGTTAAGCTTGGATCGATGTTAAAGAATCGACCCATATGGCCAATGTTGGGGATAATTCCCTAAATACACATAAAACTAAAACAAATTCCTAAACTACCACATTTATAAAAAAAATTCCCAAAATACCTAAGTTTGGAGTGGTTCGAGTTTGAGGAACTCGAACTACTAACCGGTTCGAGTGTAGGAGACTCGATCTAGTCGTAGATCGATGATATAAGCGTTGAACTATGTGGGGCTGAAGTGGTTCGAGTTCAGTAAACTCGAACCACTCCTTTGAAATTTTCAACCACCTTAACTTTGTGCTCGGTTATCCGATCGTAGCAAAATAAAATTCATTTCGCATAACTTTTCGAGGACTACAACTTTTATAATAGAAATATTTTCAGAATATATGTGAAAATTAAAGTTAAAGTTACTCCCAAAACCCCTTATATTAAAAACTATTCCTATTTTGAAAATTTATTCCTAGTAAATGTTGTAGTACTAAAAAATTATGCAAAATAAAAAAAAAAACTTTGCGACGTTCGGATTGCGGAGCACAAAGTTATGATCCTCCAAAGTTTGACAAATTCGAAAATTTGCTCGTTTATGGATAGCAAATGACGTTTTCTAGGAAGATAGCCATCCAAAAATTTCTCGTTTAGAAAATATTGCTCTTTTGGCAGAAATTTCGTATATGTAAAAAAAAAATCGTGCCTTCGCCCCGAGAAAATGTCATTTGTTACCCCTAAACGAGCAATTTTTCGATTTTGCCAAATTTTAGAGGATCATAACTTTGTGCTCCGTAATCCGAACGTTGCAATGTTTTTTTTTTATTTTGCATAATTTTTTGAGTACTACAACATTTACTAGGAATACATTTACAAAATATGAATAATTTTTTATATAAGGGGTTTTGGGAGTAACTTTAACTTTAATTTTCACATTTTCACATATATTCTGAAAATATTTCTATTATAAAAGTTGTAGTGCTCGAAAATTTATGCGAAATGAAAAAAAAAGTTTGCTATGATCGGATAACCGAACACAAAGTTAAGGTTGTTGGAAATTTCAAAGGAGTTGTCGAGTTCAGTTGTGCCCCACATGGTTCGAGGCTTATATCATCAATCTACGACTAGATCGAGTCTCCTACACTTGAACCGGCTAGTAGTTCGAGTTCCTCGAACTCGAACCACTCCAAACTTAGGTATTTTAAAAAAAAAATTATAAGTGTATTAGTTTAGGAATTTGTTTTACTTTTATATGTATTTAGGGAATAATCCCCAATGTTGCAAGTTCTAAGCTCGTTTTAGTGTTTAATTTTCGTTAGTAAACTAGAAATAAGAGAAAGAAAACCCAAAAGATGTGCTTTTGCTAATAAAAGTTGGCAACTTTAATAAAACCCAAAAGCTGGTTTAAGGTTAGAACCCCTCCCTCTCACTAGATTTTCCAGATTACCACAGCTGCCTCTCTTGGAGATAAAAACGAAAAGAAAGAAGAAGAAAAAAAAAGAACTAACATAAAGGCAAAGAGAGAAGGAGAGTGATGAAAAGGAGAGGTGGAAGAGGAAAGTCAGAAATGTGGGAATGAATGACTGAATAAAGGGAAGAGAGGGAGAGATGAAGAGAAGTCAGAAATGATACATTCATAATGACTAGCTTTTGAGGTGGATGTGACAGAAGAGGCAAACATGTTACCTCTCCCTCTCTCTCTCTATATATATTTTCTCTCTGCTATCAGACAAAAGGGAGAGAATTGGGAGTAAGTGATAAATTAATTACTACTCACTCTACCTTCTTCTTCATCTCATCTCATCTCATCTCATCTCATCTCATTTCCATAGCAAGCAAATGCACACCCCCTCTTCTAATAACATTTAATGATGTGGATTGAAATTTCATTATATGTGCTTTATAAAATAGACTAATCAAGAGTGAAAACAAATATGTTTCATCCATTTATCGCTAGTTGGTCAATACCCCACAATTTACTTAGACGCATACAAGTAGAAGGAAATAAGAACTCTTACGAACAAGAATTGAACCTATGATTAAGTGAAACCACCAAAGATGCAACCCTAGGTATAAGGCATGAACTCTTTTTTTTTTTTTTTATGAACTTATGAATAGGAATTGAAACTTTGATTAAGGCTAATGTCTTGAAATAATCTTTGTCCCCTGATTTATTTCTCTAGGTCTTGTTAAAATGAAATTACTAGAGGTATTTGACTATATAGAAGAATCGAAAAATTTTAAAGTGACATTCATATTTTAGACATTTGCGTCTCTCAAACCAAGATTTCGACCGTAATTGACAATTTTTTGATGAAAATGTTAATAGAAGGATATGTTTGATTATTTTTTCAAAGTACAAGGAACACACTTGATTGACCTGACGTAATGAGATACATTATTTGGACTTCTGGACTTCATTCTCTAGGGGCCGACAAACTATGACCATTGTTTTAGCTGGGCTAGTCCACTACGAGGGGCTGAATAGATACCCAATGGGCTGCTTTCCGAACCCATATTGCTGGGCCTCCTTATTTTCGTCCCAAGTTATTGGGCCGGGCTATGATGTCATCATTTCCTGAAAAAAGAGGAGGCCATCGAAATGTGGAACTTTCCTTATCTTCACTCTTCCTCCCGTCTCCACAGGCGGGAGCTCTAACCGGGGGAAAAAAATGGCGGGTGCTATAGCAACAGCAGCAAAAGTCAAACTCTGCTTCTACTTCTCTACTCAGAGCTCCATTAACAGACCCATCAGCTCTCTTTCCTTTCCTCCCTTTTCCAGGTCCCGCCTTAGCCTCGGCGCCTACACTAAGCCGCGCCTCGCCAGGATTCCAAGCAAGCGACGACAACATCTCCCTTCATTCCTCTGCAAATGCATCTCCACCGCCGCGCCCAACACCAACTACGAGGTGAACTTCCCGAACCCCGATCATCCCTTGAAGAAAACCCAGCCTTCCGATTCCAAAATTTCAGCTTCCTTTTTGTTTAATTTTGTCGTGAATTTGGTCGGCAGTTCTCCGACGGATCTTCGGATGTGGAATTGAGATTGCCGCTCGGGAACCAGGAAATTCCACGGCCTAGAGATGTCTGCGTGGACGCAGCTGGGACATCGTTGAGAGTCACGGTTCGGCGATCTGGTTCCATTGTTACGCTTATAGAGACTGATCAATTATTTGATAGAGTGAAGCCTTCTGATACGATATGGTTGGTGTAATGGCGTTCTTTCTATTTCGGTTACCAGAGTGGTTGGAATTGAAGAACTTACAATTAGGGGTTGATCATTTTGGGGGGCAGGTTTATAGATGAGGATGAGCTTGTCATAAACTTGAAGAAGCACGACCCGAAATTGAAATGGCCCGACATCATCGAATCGTGGGAGTCGTTGAGTTCAGCAGCTGTGCAGCTTCTCAAAGGAACATCGGTGTTCATTGTAGGGGATTCTACTGAAGTGAACAGAAGGGTGGCTCGAGAACTTGCTGTTGGTCTTGGGTAAGTGGATCTTCATGCCCTCGGCTTTATTCATCTCTTCAGAAGGTTAGTTGCTACCTCGTTTTTCGAGTAATGTATTGAACTGCTGGACTCTACGAAATACTGGTTTCAGGTACACTCCATTGGATACTCAGGAGTTACTGGAGTCGGTTTCTAAGCAAGATGTTGATTCATGTAAGCATTTGTGTGGCGTATGTGTGTTCTACTGCCTTGCATCCATGTAGTCGAACAATCTGCAAAACTGTGTTGTTCTGTGAAGTCTATGTAGGCTTCACGCTGTTAAAACTTGCCAGCTAGGAGTTAGAAGCGTGGACTGGAGCACTAGAAGTTGCTCTTTGGAACTAATCATATGACTTACCTATGCTCGTTCCAGGGATCGCTGATGAAGGTGTTGATTCTGTAGCTGCAGCAGAAAGTTCAGTGCTAGAAAGCCTAAGTAGGTACGCGAATTATCATCTGATGGTATCCCCCTTCATTCACTGTCTGACTGTAAACTCAAAGTGGGGTTCTGGTGGGTTTGCAGCCACGCTCGAGCTGTGGTGTCGACACTAGGAGGAAAGCATGGAGCAGCTGCAAGAACCACTAACTGGCGCCATCTTCACGCAGGGTTCACTGTCTGGGTTTCAGAGACAGAAGCAATGGGTAAAGCTCAAGAAACTCTGCTTCTTTAAAAAGGAACAGATTCTGGAATAGCCAATGAACCAGGAAAGAACCTGATTCCAGCTAGTAAAATGGAAACGCAGATCAGGATACAGCTAAGGAGGAGGCTATAAGGCATGTGCAAGATCGCAGCACCGGCCACTCAAACGCAGATGTGGTGGTGAAGCTCCAAGGATGGGATCCGGATCACGCAAAGAGTGTAGCCCAGGCATCCTTGAGCGCCCTCAAACGTCTAATTTTGGCTGACAAGGAACTTCCGGGTACGCTGTCGAAGACTAAAGATACTTGTTCTGTCATTGTTTTTTTGGGTTCATTCATTCGGCAATCTTGAACAGTAGGAAGTAACTGTATAATTCTGCATTCATTTTACTTTTGAAGGGAAGAAGAGCCTGTACATAAGGTTGGGATGTCGAGGAGATTGGCCAGACATCAAGCCTCCTGGTTGGGATCCATCCAATAATACTGAAGTAGCCTTGTAGACAATCGTCAGCTTGTAGAATCGAAATTCTGCTCGCTCACTGTCAGCAAAATCTGTTATGAAGACATTTCTGATTTCTTCAAGTCTATAAAGCGTTATTGATTTAATACCGCGGCGAATCGGTGTGTACATGCATCTCATCGCCGCAAGGATTTGGGTACCATACAGAGCATGGTGCCCTGGTATCACTGAGCATGATCATTTCTCAAATTCGCAAAGGCAAGAAACATACCAGTAGTGATCATGCGAAGGCAACCCAGATCAACTAAAACTGCAATCCTAAGAAATAAGCATCCCAAAATACCAACTTGTTTCAGAATCAAATCTAAAACAGTATCACGATAACATCGACACATTGCAAGACTACCAGGGACCATTTCGACCAAGTATTTGAAGTTCGAACTTTTTACCAAACCGAAGAAATACTACCAACCATACAGCAGAAAGAGAGCATATATGCATTCCCCTGGGAGCGAGCTTAAGATTGCTGACGCCACTACCACAACCACTTCTGACTTCTGCGACTTTCACCTAGTTGCTTCGAACTTCTGGCTTGGACACCACCTGCAAGACTCACCAGCCTATTGTTACTACGATGGAATTGCAGACTTGACATGAACAAAAGCACAATGTGACATGCTGGCAAGCAACAAGTCGAGCTTCACATCACAATCCAAAAAATAAAAATGACAACAATAAATTTTGTGTTTAAAGCCTCAAGGATCGATAAGTCCCTTAAGGGCACCACATCACCATATAAGCTCCCAATTAAGAAAAGGACAACTAGAAGAGACTACAAAATCATAACACAATTTTTGTCCATCACAACTCAAATTAAAATACGCCAGTAAAATGTCAGCTAATCCCAATAGAACGACAAACAGAGATTATAAACCATATGAAGTCATACCTGGCTTCGGTTCAGGTTCATTATTGTGGTCTTTAGCAAAGTGTCCCCGACAATTAGTCTCAACTGTCTAACGAAGTCTTCCCTGCTCGTCCTTTTTGCCTGATAACACAGCCAACCATGAATACTTGACAGCAGCTTTAGTGATGGGGAAAACAGTTCAACAAAAGAAACAAAATGCACAAAAGATTATGACCTACCCGGAATTCTTCATAATGACTAATAACAAGTTCCATGTCCCTCCTAGCAATTTTAGTAGAAACAGCAGCAAAGAGCTTAGGGAAAGGCATCCAAGGAGAACTATGAGTCCTTCCATTGCTTGAACCCAGACTATTTGCTTGTCCAATAGATGCCCCAGAGTCAGAAAGCGGTCTACTTTCACTGACCTGTGGCAATAAAGGACAGAGGGTGTATCTCAGCACTTGCTAATCATTCATGTACGACATAACTTGCCCAACAATACAAAAGAGAATTTTGTATAATATGAAGAACGATTATTACCACCATTCCAGAAACTGTAAATGAATCACCTATCCAATTGATAGCCTGAGCTCACCTCATCAGATGCAGGGGCCAAATTAAGATCCACAGCGGGGGACTGTACAGGTAAATTAAGATCCACATGATGAGACTTCATCAGGATACTCCCCTGAACTGTGTTTGTAGCACTGGTGATACCTGAAGCAGCACACTTACTCTCACTCCCATTCGCAAGACCTATAGAAGATACACAAAAAATGCTAACTCTCAAGTACAAAAAGATTATCAAAGGGAAATTTCTTTGTTATCTGAGCATCTGAGAAGACACCACCCAGATACTCTTGAAGATTTTGATCTCAGCTCAGGTGTAATAAAGCACAACCAAGAGTTGTCCACGCATCATGCAACAGAATCTGCCTTCTATACCACGGACACCAAGTTCTCAGCATTCCAGAACAGTGAACAGTGGTCTTTGATGATTCCCATTTCAGCTCATAGGCCAAGAAGGATCCACAATGATCAATGATGGATCGGCAAAAAATTAATGAGACTTCAACTCAAGAGTGCAAAAGCAGCTGGTACAGCCACCACACACGAAAAACATGTAGAAAGAAGTATATAAGGGAAAAAGGAAATAGGGCATCACCTTCACCACTGGAAGAGACCTTGAAACTAACAACATATTCCGGGAAAATGTGGGTGTTAACATTCATATTCCAAACTATATACTGTCTTGGATTTTGAAGATCGTCCACTCCATTATCAAAGACCTCACTACTGGGATGGAACTGCCGAGTCCCATGCTGAAGAGGCTCCATATTTCCCATTATCACACGACAAAATACAATATGCCGAGTGCCATTTTCGTCAACATCACAATCACTGGCACTGTAGGGGAATAAAAAGGATCAATCCTAAGAAGCATAAATGACAATAATGACGATGATAAAAAAAAAATCTTACCAATTTGCATAAAAAAATATCAAACAACAAAACCGACTCCATAATTCAACCAACCAATTCAAAAGGACAAAACACAACTAACAAAAACATTGAGAAGTAAGATATCTAACTGGGTATGCTCCATAAACACCACTAACAAAAGAACTTCAATGCACAGCAATGGATGGAAAGAGTACAAGTCCATAAACCACCGTTGGATAGATTAACCACGCCATGAGTAGTAATATGACTCCATCTGAGTAATGTTTCTTTCTACTTCTTCTATTTCAAATATTATTACTAGATTAATCAGTGTGTTAATTTATCATTAGATACAGGCTAGCAGTCATTTACAAAAACAGTAAGCACATATACAGATTGGTTTGCATATCTCCAAATCAAATAAAATTTTCAAACCTGATGTGGCAGTGATCTGCAGCAGATAGATGAATGCCAACTGCATATCTGAACTTTGTGGCAGAAGGTCGGCAATGACCAAGACCGTATGTCATAATCATAGGCAATGCTGCTTTGGAAGAAGCAAGCCAAGCATATCGAACATTTGCATCACCACGGCACTTCCCTGTGAGCTCCATTTGTTTCTCAAAAATTGCTAACCGGTCTTGTAAAAAAGTGCTCGAGCAGGGTAAAACGTTAAGCACCTCAGCACCTTGAAAACATTTCATGCCTCCAATAAAAATCTTCTGCATAGTATCTGAATCAAATTTCACATCAACAGATGGAGTTCTGTAAACAGATGGTGGTTTAATTAGTTGGTTTTCCTGGACAGCTTCAACAGACTTCCGGTTGCAACTATCTTCAACTTCAACAACGTAATGATTGCTCCCAGGTTTGGGAGCAACTTGGATGTGCTTCACAAGAGCATTTGATTCCCCGCTACACTCCAACTTAGTCTGCTGGTCCACTCCATTTACATCAATCTCAAGTTGCAGCTTAATCTCATGAGGCCCATACTGATCTTTTCCACAATCCTCACTACTTAATTCGTCATCATCGGCATATATTTCCGGAAAGAAGCAGGCACCAGCTTCATCAATCCAAGCAATTGGTAGTTGAGAGCCTGTCTTCAAGTCAAGCTGACACATATGCAAGAAATCTAGCATATAATGGCGCCCCTCCAACTCAACTTCAACAACAGCCTTCTTTATCTGAAGATCCTTTCTTACCAAGGCAACAAGATCTTCTGAGAAGTCAGTCCATTCACCATTCTGAAAAAACATAAGACGTGCCGGCACTCCAGTCCTCGAAAAATTTGAATAACGCTGGAGAATGGATTTCTTGCAAGGTAAGCCACAGCTCGCAGGCTTGTCCAAGCAATCACTAACTCTCCTTCGTTTCCCCAGCATAGGACAGTCAGCCAACACTGTTTGGGAAGCTCTGGCGAAATTAGCTGCACAGCGGGATGCACGCTTTCTCTTTAAGCCGAGCATAACCTTGCTTCTTCTATCCAATACCTTTCCGAACTTCGTTTCCATGTCTAGCTACTAAATCTATCACTAATAAAACCCTGAAGTACAAAAGTTTCGATTTACAGTAAAGCAACAACTCTGTCCCCCAACCACCAGTTTGAAAGTCAGGATGCAATCAGAGCCATTTGGGTAAACCTGCACCAGTATTAGAAAATATAAATGCAAGTGGGGGACACAGATTCACACCGTATGGAAAAACACAAAACCAAAATATGAAACATGCACATTTAGGTAAGCTGTAACTTATTGTCCACGGGCAGTAGATAACATTGATCCAGAATATATGAAAAATGCAACAAGGAAAAAAAATAAACCAACCGCAGATGCAGTGTTCATAAATGCACGCTCTAAAGAATATCAGCAAGAGAATATCAGCACACTCAAAAACAACATCAAGCTTTCCAGTTATGATATCACCATAGGGACAACTTTGTTAGTAGCAGCTTCGTTACCATGAAGAGGATAAAGCAACCACCAAGCCAACTAAATTCTAAACATGATAACTAGCTATAGAAAAACAGTAAAGTACAAAGCAGAAACAGAGAACAACAAGGACAACTCCTGACCAAAATACTAACTTCGCAGCAAAGACTTAGCCACCAATTAGAAACTCAAAGTCAGTACAGACCTGATCATCAGGAAAATACTTGCATCAAAAGACAACAATGAATTCAAAATACCATAATTCACAAGAACAAGGACAAAGAAAGATTTTTTATATATAGCAGAGAACAGACCTAACACTGCAACTAAAGCTGATCATGTACATGTCCATCCTCTGCTAATATGAACAATCAACACTTTCTCTGGAAGTAAGGCAACTCCCTTATTTATCTCACAAGCCTAGAGTTAGCTCTGCACACCTGCAAGACCAACAACCATCATCAAACCATGATCAGAAGGAAGGAAGACCCAATCACCAAGGCAGAATCAACCAGAGTCCATCCACAGATTGAGTCGTCAAATTATCCCGTTATGAGCAAGAAAGCACCAGATCTCAACTCTAAGAACCACAAAGTCCAATTTGTCGCTAAAACAAAATCAATACGCGACGACTTCAGAAATCGAAAGCCAAAGTCAAACCAGACGAAAAGGAGGAGGAAAAAAACCACGAAAACTCGTGAAAACCAGAACCGCCAATCCAATTCGGACTCAACACGCGCATCAAACAAAGGAAATTCCCACGAAACCGAACCCGATCTACGACTTACAGCCACCAGAATCAGCAACAGACGGCGATAACGCTATACATGAACAAAAACAAATTCCAACGGCCACGAACCCACTTACCGTCGATGATACATCATATGATCCGCGCCGATAAGGGGATGGTGGAGGATCGATTTGGACGGACGAGGAGTGCTTGTTCTGCTCCGCCGACGTTCCGATTAGGCGATAAAAACCCTAATATTAAAAAAGGCGGAGAGAGAGGGAGTAGAGGAGAGGTGGAGGACGGAACAGTATGAAGCGGAGAGGGTAAAGGGGATGAAACGACGCCGCTTGTCCGCTTCTAAGAAGGGAAGAGGCGGTAATAAAAAAAAAAAAAAGAGGAAGTTTCCGACTCCGTTGACGGTAGCGGAAATTTAAGTCGGCGGACACCTCCCTGGTGATTGATACGCTGCTCTGCTCTCTTCTCTCTCTCCCTCTCTCTTTCGCTTGATTTTTTTTTCTCTCTCTCCAATTTCTATTTTAATTAATTTTTACTTGGGCGGAAAGCAAGGAAATGCCTAAACTGAGAGAAATAAATACCCCTGTTGATTACTTGTGGGCGGGGTTTGCTAGTGTCACGGCCGGGTAACAGTCGGTGGGCCTTTCTTTTCTTTGGGCTAATGGGCTTGGGTTTGTGTTTTTTTCTTCTTTTCTTTTACCCGGTAGGCCGGTACGAGGAGAGGCCGCGAGATGCTATTGGCGGATTTATTAAAGTCTGGAAATTGGTTTTGTGGAGGATGGTCTGGGTTCCGGGATAGTTGTGTTATTTTGTTACACTCCCAAACATAAAATCTCGCAATGGCATTGGCACCCATCGTCTCCCATGTGCACTCATCGTCCTCCACTGACACCCATTTCCTATTTCCGTAAGAGATAATTGTATTTGCAATTAGGGTTGGAAGTTTGGTACCGGTATTTGGGATTATACCGAATATCGTACTGAATTTATCAATATTTCATATTATTGAATATCGGTTTATTGTTTAGGGATTGGGATTGGGATTGTGATTCATATTAGAGTAGTACACTATTCGGAATTACAGGATTGGAATTGGTACATATCGAAATACCGAGAGATACTGAAAATTAAAAATTAATAATATATAATACACAACCTTTGGTCATTCCTTACTCTTTCACGATTTAGAAGCCCCCATCCAACTCAATTTTGACTTTACAGTTTAAGTCACTCTCGTCACTCACCTAATCTCTTGTTATTTTCATAACACCAAAAAACAAACACTAGTATTAGTCGTCTCTTAGCCTCTAATTCGTCAAATTAAATATTACCAATGACAAGAATTTGAGATGTCACATCTCCTCCATTCTCCTTGTCTATATCCTATCTCTATGCAAACTCAAGACTTTTTGCTTAGTCTCTTTGCCCTAAATTAAACAATGAAATCTCATTTATTTATTTATTTATGATAAATGTAATTAATTCCGTATTCGATAATACCGATTGAGATAACGAAATATTTAGGAATTAGGATTGAGATTGATTTTAGGGTGTAATTCAGTATTGGAGATTTTGGTATTTAGTATTGGGATACCGATGTCGTACCGATTTTCACTCTTACTTGCAAGACTTGGAGTTAAAACCTTTGTGCTTAATTGGTAGAGTAGCGACTACTATGTTTGGAAGTATTAATGTTTTTCAAATACAAGTTGAATTTGTGCTATATAACATTTAAAATACAGATTTAGTTTGTATTATAGAAGAATATATAGAAGAAGGTGCAAATACAAATTTGAATTTGTATCATCTCGTTAAAAGTACAAATTTAGTTTGTAACGAGAGAAAAAAAATCAATGTTAAGGTTAAATTACATATTTAGTTTGTAAATTTGTATTAAACTTTACAAGTACAACTAAATTTAGTAGGATTATTGGAACTTAGACGGCACTGTTGGGGTAAGTCTAAACATTTTTGGTCTTATTAGTTATTGGACAAAACGGCCCTTCAAATTATGGGCCCCTACGCACCTGTTGGGAATGTGACCGTGTGAACAAGCGAAGCGACACAACAAGATAGGACTGCCATGTCCGCCGCAAGTCTCGTGTCAATCTGAAACCAACTGGGACACTTGACGACGGGAATGGCGCTTAAACTATCTTAGCGCTATTATATTACTAGTATCATGGCTTCATGGGATTAGGGATGGCAATGGGTCGGGTTGGACGGGTTTTGTCAAACCCAAACTCATGGGTTTATCCGCCAAAAAAACTCGGGGTAAAATTCGTTGGGTTTGAAAAACATAAACCTAACCCAACCCGCTGGGTATCCGCGGGTCATGGGTACCCGTGGGTTTTTGTGGTAAAAAATTTACAATAACAAGTTTCTTTCAAAATAAAAGTTTAACATCAATTTTCTCATACAAATTATTCATACAAAAAACACCAATCTAGAGCATACGAGCAAACCGCAAATGATCAATTGCAAATTGTTCAAAATTAAAGATAAACATCTATAAACAATAAGATTAATTGAAAGCTTCTTCCTCGTCAACTAAGTTTCTTCACTCTCCATTTCATAATATCAACTTCATTCTAAACAATTAGAAAGAACAAATTATACATGTCTCCATAAACATAAAGAATATTAGTTGTTTAAGGAAGATATATTATTTAGAATATTAAATATACCGGGAAAGTAATTATATGTGTGTGGGCGGGTACCCATGGGGTGGGTTTACCTAAACCCAAACCCAACCCGACCCGGTGAATAGTGTAGCGGGTTTAAACCCGAACCCGACCCAAAACCCGTCAACATGGGTTTTACCCGCGTTGATCAGGTTGGGTCGGATGGGTACCCGTGGGTTCGGATTTTGTTGCCATCCCTACATGGGATCAAGCCTGGACAAGTTTGACAAGTAACACTTCTACTTTGAACAATAAAAGTATTAGAGTTTTAACATTAAACCAATGTTAATTTGATAAATCACAAGAGAAACTGCAGGATATGATTATCTCAATTAGGTTAAACAACCAATGAACAATCCAGTCATGAGTTCCTCTAATTCCTGTTTCAGCAATTAAAATTACATTGAACCCGCTTGTAGCATACACGATTGTATTACCACAAAACACAGCCACCAGCTATGTAAAATCCATCGAATTGCAAATGAACACAGTGCCTGAAGACACTTGCTCTTAAATACACCAAGGAGGATAATTCAAGTCGATTCCTTTACCCTATACTTTGTTCCCTCCCGAAAGATTTGCAGAATCATAAGACAGGGTTAGATCGTAATGCTCCAACAAAAGGGAGGCGCTAATGACCAACAACTTGCACCCAATTGCAGCAACAACGCGTACGAGCTCTCAAGCAACGGCCCACACGATATTCCTAACCAGGAAGGGACAAGCAGCTTGACTCGAACGTGGCGAGTGTCGAGACCCCGCCACAAGGATCAGAGACATGAGGGGAGCCAGGAGGGAGAATGATCAGGCTTGGCAAAGGAGAAGGGTCCACCAACAATTACAAGTACTTGAGCATGCCACGGCCTTCAACACTGAGCTTTGAAGCTTGTAAACTCTTCTTCTTTGGTGCCTTCAGCTGCTGCAACTTCTTATTCATCTGCGGTTTGCCAGAGAGTATTGGAGCTTATAGATATGTCATTTTTACATGAGACAATAGTTCATGGAAAAAATAGATCCTTCCATGAAAGTTATCACGCAACCTCTTTGTTTGGAGAGAGAATCAAATTGAGATTGGACGTTTGAATACTACAAATGGAAAACAAACCTTCATTCTCCGCTGATCTTGTACAGCTTGTTTAGCACGTGCTCTAATTTCTTCAGGATCTATCTTCGACTGTGGACGGACCAAGAAATCCAACGCTGTTGCTTCTGGCCTGGTAGTGAGCTGTTGTTGCCTGGATGATGATGATGATGGCTGGCCAGACTTCCTTCCCCTATATTAGGTTATAAAACGAACCGTAAATCATGAGCAAAAAAGGATGCAAAGAGATTTTCGTGGTGAAAAATTACCGTGCCATGTCCAAGTCAAGATCACCATCTGTAGATTCCATCCCAACAGAATTGCTCGCTGGTCTGCCGAAATAGGAAATCAAGAATACAAAATTGTAATGTGTCTGAACAAGCCATTTGTAAAACAAAACCACAAACTCAACAGGCATGTCACAAGCAATACCTTCTTGGTGGTGGCCTTCTGTAAGCACGTTCATCTTCAGCACCTCTCATGTCCTCAAACCTCGTGCTCTTATTGAATATTGGTCGACTCTGATTTAATCATTTCAAAAGAAACAGAGAGGTCAGGTGATTAGTACACAGGGAGTGTTTTCTGATTCTCCAACAATAGGGAAACAGCAGAGTTTAAGTTGCTATTCCTTAACATGGATAAGCAGAATTAAAGAATCAGCAGAAGGCATATTAAGGGTAGAGATTAAGCATATAAATATAACATACCCATTTATCAACCAGATCCTTGGCTAGTTTTCTGTTGGAAGTGGTTTCCTCGTCAGATTTTGATAAAAACATTATAACCTGCCAATACTTAACTAATTCAGTTGAAATTGTATTTTTCAACCTAAAAAATAAACAGGAGAATGTCCAACCTTTCCAAGTCCACTCTTCTTTAATTGCTCCCTTCTATCATACTGCTCCAGATCAATAGGAAGCTGGTTGAAAACACATTTTAGGATCCACGTACTGATCATTCAAATACATGGGCACCAGCACAACATAATAGGGAAAAGCTCTCACATACATCAGTTAGAATTCTCAGAACTGCCGCACGTATGTTTATGTTAGGCAAGCTTCCATCAGGAAGGGGTTCGAGCCAAGTTTTCAGCAGGGTCAAAACTCCATGATCTATGAATTCTTGCTGAAGCTGCTTCCTGCACGAGTGTCCCCGATAATAAACAAGATGGTTAAACCAAATGCTCTTACAAGAGGACAAATCACAGAAAGAACCAACCAACTTACTTTGAGAGAACATCAGTAAGAAGAGGCAACTTCTTGAGTTTGTTAATAGCAGGTTTTCCCCTCTCATTTAGACTGGCATCTTCTTCCGCAGTGACTTCAAGCTCAGCCATCACATTCTCTACTAACAATGCAATCTCTGCAGGGCTTCTCTCATTCTTCTTCCGTTTCTTGCCAATCTTAAAAAGCTGGTTTACTTCATCATCCTCTTCACCCTCCTCTGCCTGGCAAGATCAAGTACAATATATAAAATGGAATCAATAGTGGGAAAAATTCAACAAAGTTAAAGTCCTCCCAATCAATATTAACACAATGACAGCCCAGAAGAGTGTCAGTTAAAATAGTCCAAGTTACTCGTATTGAGTGCAAAGCTTGTTTAAGAAAATAAGATGACCTGAGGAACATCACCGAGAGAGCGCTGTTCATTGTCACTTCCATACCGATCAGCTGGGTCTACTCCAGTATCATCAATGAAGTTATCATCATCCATAGTTCTCAAGCCTTCTTTATCATCCTACACACATAATAGCAATCTGCTCAGACTTTTGACAACAAGCAAACAACCATACTACATAGGGCCGATCCAACTCCAAGTACAGAAAGATTCGTTACCAGGGGTACAGATTGTTAAAGCAAATCTGAGACCAAGTGTTACGACAGACAGATTCACTTTCAGAGTAGAAGCTTCAAAATTAAAGATAACATCCAAAGATAAACTGTGCAACATCTTGCAAGTGATCATACATACTCATGAGTGAAAACTGAAACCAATTACCTTGCCTAGCACTTCCACCAACAACTAAGAGAAACTACTTCTCTTTCAATAAAGCAGTGACGTTATCACTAAATGCATAAGAAAGGCATAGCTCAGAGTAACTTGGGAATCAACAAGTGTAAACAATTAAGGTGAATACACCAATGACTTATACAGTTGGTGTCAAAATGCCAGAAAATCCACCAAGAAGCCGCATCACAAAGTCTCCAACTTTGCGCTTTAGCCAAAAGTATAGAAGAGCACCAAATTCACCCGATCTCTAAGCCAAAAAGTGAGCTATTCATGTAGATATATAAAAAGGGAGTAAGTAAGATAAGAACCTCGGAATCGCCACCAGCAATGGTGTCCCACATTTCCTTGACCTCACCATCATCCTTCCCAGCAACTAACCTCCCAGGGTAAGCACCCCTCTTCGGCATCCCTCCTCCAGATTTAGAACTACTCCCAAACTTCTTATCCCCTTTGGAGAACAGCTTTTTCCTATCCTTCCCAGAGCTCCCGATCCCCTCCTTTCCCAATCTCCTCCTCTTCTTCCCTTCAGCCGATCCCTCCCTATCCCTTGAATATTCCCTCGCATCGTACCCTTGATCGTCAACGTCCTCGTCAACCAGCTCCAGCGGAGCTGCATAACTGTCCCTACCGCCGTCGCTCTTCTTCACCAGCCTCTTCCTCGGCTTCGAAGATTTATCCGCTTCGTAGACTGGAGTTCTGGAACCGTCGTCGTCGATAAAGTCGTCATGAACTCCAGGGGATTGACCGCCGTCCGATGCCAAATCGTCGTAATCCATCAAAGGCTCTCCGTCCTCGTCTCGATAACTGAGAAGAACGGCAACCGTAGAATCACAACATCGAATTGAAAAATCAGAACCCTACCGAACTGATTTTTCTTCCTAGACGGAGATAAAGGATGAAATAAACAATAAAAGCCATGAACAACAAAGCAGAGAGCTGGAGTTGCAGAGCACTTACGGATCGTCCTCGAACGCCATGGAGTTGATCGATGGGTATGATCGTAGGGAATTCAAGCGAGCTAAAGGAAGAAGATGAAGAGAAGAGGAGGTAAAAGAACAACAGCAAATTGCTTTTCCCTTGTGGGAATTGGAATATTTGGTTTTGTTGACTATAAATTGGGCGGGTCGGGCTAGCCCGTTAGCCTTCTACAGTGTGGCGCCAGCCCAAACCCGGCTTATATTAAAGGCCAAATTCACCTGTATAGTCAAAACTTTGGCGTTTTTGTCAAATATAGCCATTTTTGGAGAAATACCAGAAATAACCACTTCCGTCCAATTGTTTGACGGTGTTAGTTAACGTGCTGACTGGACAAACGGACCATCCGACGTAGCTTTTTTCGTCAAACAAGTGAATTCCACGTGGAATAAAAAAAAACGAAACAGTAAATGTGTTGTTACGCCTCAGCCACTTTCTATCCTTTTCATTTTCCCTTCCCTTTCCCCGAGTCGATATCCAGAGAAAACCCCTCTTCTCCGACGACGAACTACGACGCTCCCCCACTCCAGATCGGCGTTGGTAGTCGTTGACGACGAAAGCCTTTCCGATCCACGAACCCACCATGAGAAGCAAAACCTCTTTCCTCTTTTCCGATTCACGAACCCTAAATCCTTTCTGAGCCTCCCTCCATCGAATCGGCCATGCATCGCGGGGTTTCATAGATCCTCTCCACGTTCCGGCGACGCGATTCACTGTTGGTGAGGGGGAATCGACCATCGAGTACCAGTTCAACCCATTCTAATCCCAATCCAGTTCCAATCGCCTGTGCTCGCTCCCTCATGTCGATCAATCGACGGCCATCAGCTTCCTCCCGTCACTGCAAATAGCAGAGCAACCACCCAGCTTCCCCATCCATGAGATTTAGTCGATCCGTGAGAATCGACATCGTCACCGCTCACCGACGAGCAAGACCCAACAAATAGTAGAGGTGACTCGTCGCAAGCAGGAACTTCCTTCAGCGATTCCAGATTTTGAATTTCGATAGTGACCTTGTGGGTCTGGGAGTGGCAGGGCATTTGGGAGTGGGTTTCGCGGAGGAAGCGGAAAGCGCCGTGGGAGGAAGGCGAACCCACCTTGGGAGGAGTTGTGTTGGAACTGTTATGTTTCCTAGGGATTGGATGGAGGGGAATCGAGATGAAACAAGCGGAGCTCTCGAAGGCGGCGACTCTCAAGGATCTCCTCCACTCGTCACTAGTCGACTGGTCGTCGCTTCAATCGAAGTTGCCGCTAGGAGTGAGATTCTGAGAACTGGGGGGAAAACGGTTGTTGTCGGACGGGTTTGAGAGTAACTAGATTGGAGGGATGGATTTTGTAGGCGACGGCGAGTGCAGTGCGGCGGAGCTGGGTTCGTCGACGAGTGCGGTGGGGCTGCTTCAATCGAAGGGGCTTGGTTCGTCGAGGAGAGCGGCTGGGAAACCCTAAATCGGATGGAATTGGGGAAAGGAAAGAATAACATTTACAATTCTATTCACATAATTTATGATAATTATTTTTACCCGTTAAAAATGACGTGGCATTCCACCTATCAATGGATGCTGAGGTGGGAAGGAAAGACACGGTGAGGTGGCGGCCACATCATCTGTCCGTTAAATAGACTAACGGTGTCATTGACGCCGTCAAACTATGTAACGAAAATGGCTATATTTGTCATCGAACTTTCAAAATTCTGGCTATTTCTGGTATTTCTCCAAAAATGGCTATATTTGTCACAAACGTCAAAGTTTTGGCTATGCAAGTGAATTTGGCCTATATTAAAAAATGTCCCACACGTAAAAAAAGGAGTAGTTTGATGAAGAATTTGGAATACAAAAACCTAGGGGGTTGTTTGGATTAGGAAATGTAGACAAGGATTTTCCACAATCCCTTGTCATAAAGAATTTTGTCACAATTTTTCGTTTGGATGGGAAAATAAAATTGAGAAATTTGACCGTTTAGAAATTTCAAAAATCATAGTATTATAGATTTTAAAATAGTTGATGGACTCCAGATTTTTTGAAATCTCTCATAAATTTTCCCCAACCTTCCCAATTTATCCCTCCTTATTTTATAGTATTCCTTTCTTGCCCTCGCCCTTTATTCACCGACTCGCTATTTCCAACCTCTCTTACCCATTTCTATCTCCTTCTTCCCTCCCGATATGAGAAACCATCTCTATCTCCTTCTTCATTTTTCTCGTATCGTTGGTGACTGCGGCGGGGTTCTACCACCTTCGATATACAACGACAAACCATGGCCCCTCTGTTTCTAGTTCTCCCTCCCTTTGTTTCTCTATGCAACAAACCAGGGCCCAACTGAGAATCGAACCAGAAACGCCATTCTCTTCCTTTTTTCTAGTTAGAAAGAATCGAGAAGGCAAGCGAGAGTACTGATAATACCATCCCTCTATGTTCTCGACCATTCTCCTCCTCCATCGTCTATAAAGAGAGGGAAAGAAAGAAAAGAAACAGAGTGTAAGGTTTCTCCTTTTCAATCTCTTCAAATGGGTTGCTTCTCAATGTGTTTTGGTTCCTCCAAAGATCGCAGAAGGAGATGCATAAAGCAACAACACAAACAGCAAAACCACGCTCAACCTCCGTATCAGGTTAGATAACATCCCAGTCATGTGAAAGAAACAGTCGCCGGTCACATCCAATGCTCGTGTCGAGGATTCCAGGAGGGCGCAGAAGAGAGGGATTAAATGGGTATGCAAAAAAGAGAGTGAACAGGACAAAATAGTAATTTTAGATTTGTCATTAAAATCTAAATTGCTCATTGGACAATTTTGGATCGTTTATCAAACAAGTAATTTGATTAAATTTCCTCATTTAAATTACCTGGATTTTTAAATGCGAAATTTGGGTACAAATCCCTTACAAATTCTCTTTGTCCCATTTTCTCCCATTCCTTCCTTCTTTTGTTTTCTTCACTTTAGCCGCTAAAAGGAAGAATCTCAAAGAGCGAGGAGAAGGACAAACAAGTTAAGATGAAGAGATTTGGCTAAATTATCAAATTTGGGTTGGAGCACATTTTTTCACCAATCCTCCCAAATAGGCGAAGTTTACTAATGGGTTGGAGTGGGTCTAAAGCATTAGCTACACATATATAGCTTTGCATAGTGTTAGTATAGGGGTGGGCAACGGGAAACGGGTATTTGGGTATACCCGTACCCGTCCCATTTTTTAAGGGTTACGGGTACCCATATTACCCGTAATATTATAAACGGATGGGATTTGGGATTGCACATTCCTAATATGGGTACCCGCGGGTTACCCGCAAATACCCGTTTGGGTAATGTGGGTACCCGTTTTACCCATTTGCGAACTCTAATCCATAGAAAGGGAATGTCCACTTCGCCACAAAGATGAAACTTTTCTTAGTAAAGAAACAAAGAACGCTATGTGAACATAATACTTGTAGTCTGCACTCTGCAGTGACATGCAGCCTAAACTCATCCCTATCCAAGAAGTACCATAGATTATTTTCATAGTTCAAAGTAGTCATCAATCGCTAAAGGAACCTCAGCGGTGTATGATTCCTTAACATTGAAATTATAAGTTACATTTTTCCTTCTACCCTGCTGACAATAGCTGAATGCACGCAGGTTACCATGTATACCACTCAATGTATGATGACTTTGTCTGGATGGAGAAGTTTGGTGACCCTAATTTTCGCAGGCACATTGCAGGTGGGTAACTTGAGGCCGAATAATGGAGAATTTCCATCTATCTTTTCAGATGGTATAAATTATGCTCAACAGAATCATTCTATTAGATGAGGGGATACAAACAGTCCATACTGAAGCCTTACTTGGACTGAGAAACTGATACAAAACTCTCCTGAATCCGAAAGAGAAAAGTGGCCATAATGTAGTGTCAAATGCAAGCTAAACTACATGTTAATCATGCATCTCAGCCTCAAGTTTAATTTTTTGACCTACAGTTGCAAGCATTTGGGGGATATCTAGCTCTCCAGTTAGCAGACAAGGAAATTTTGCCTTTTAACTATCAATCCTATGCTGAAGAGCTTCAGGTACGGCTATTTGTGCAGAACCATGGTACATCCCTGGTAACTAACTGGCTATCATGAGAAAACTTAGTATCTATGTCTTTAATCCATGTATAACAGAGAAATGCAAAGGAGTTGGAAGATCAGATATCAAATCAGATAACAGTTACTCCCTATGAAACTTCTTATTTGATAATTTGGTCCTTAGAATGATTTATTTCTATGCGTTGTGATTGTTCATGATTTGTGTTGAATGAAACTTCTTATTTGATAATTTGGTGCTTAGAATGATTTATTTATATGCGTTGTGATCGTTCATGATTTGTGTCTTGTGATTGTTAAGCAAGTACAAGTTAAGTTTAAACTTTTGTTAAATTTTGAGTGGTTTAAACTTTGGGTATTTATGGGTAGTATGGGTACCCGTTATCCGCCCCGTACGGGTAATGGGTACCCGTTTCCCATATGAGTTTGGGATATGGGATGGACTCTGGCTTCCAAATGGGACTGGGTACCCGTTTAAAACGAGACGGGTATCCCGTTCCCGTCTCGTTGCCCACCCCTATGTTAGTATGTGTGCCTTCGCTTTCAATTCAATATTAGTTAGCAAACCTATCAAAATAATATCAATTTACTCGCGTTTAAATAAGTTGCCTTTATGTTAGACATTTCAAAAAATTGAAGGGAATTATCAAGCTTTTCTCTAATGAGAATTATTCAAACCGATTACCTTCATGTTAATCAGTTGGCTAAAAAATAAAGAGAATTATTAAGTTTAGATTGAATGGACGGCGCAATTTTTTATTGTACATGTTAAATAATGAGGTGTAAATATAGAATATGATTTTATAGGTAAAATAGTATGATCAAATCCAAGAAATTAACAAGTTTAGTCGTAAAATTTGATAAGTAATTTAACAAATTAATTTGATCTAAACACCGGAAATATCCGTAAATGGGAGCCGTGGCGAATCAATCGACTGCCACGTATACCCGAGCGGACTTTTATTCAACGACGGCCGGCTGTCGACTCGAGTAGCGATAACCACTTAAAATAGGGAGGGGGACAAGCGAAGCGAGCGAATGAAACAAACGAGGGAAAGTTGTTTATGCAGACCATGAGCGAGGTGCTGGTGGCGATGCCGGCCAACGGCGGCGGCCGCGTCTCCGGGAGAAATCCGGAGCTCAACCGCCAGTTCCATACTTCACTATCCAGATGCTCTTCTTCCTTTGGATTCCCCAACCTACTGCCGCAGCGGAACATTGGAAGGAAGCTCCTCCATTCAAGCGGCGGCGGCGTTGGTTTGGCCCCGCGAGCGTCAGGGAATCCAGGCGAGTACTATCCTTCTGCTCCAATTCCTCCACTGCAATTCGAATCTCCGGTGGGCCAGTTACTGGCGCAGATTCTGCAGTCGCATCCGCATTTGTTGCCCGCTGCAATCGATCAGCAGCTCGAGAATCTTCAGACCGACAGAGAGGCTCAGGGGGAAGATGCTCCTTCTGCTCAGGATCTACTTTACAAGTGAGTAGTAGTATTCTCTCCTTGCCGTTTCTTGTTTTTCTTTGTTCTTGGATTGGTTGGCAGGTGTTAAGAGTATGGAACATTTCTGTAGATTGCTGAATCTATTGCATTGCTGTTAAACTTAGCTGAGCTGATTTACTGAAACCGGTTTGATTGTTTAGGATGGAAGGAGTTGGAAGTCTTTTGTTTAAGCTAAAACGTGGAATGGTTCTCATCGGAGAGAAAAACTGGAACATGCTCTTACAAGGGCCATGAAAGCTGAAACGTTTGCTTGCATTTGATGGAAACCATAGGGCATAGGCAGGTGATTAGAACTTAGGGTATATTAGTTGTGAGCAGATATTCCTCCTACGAATCATTCTGGTTAAGGTTGGTTGTTCTTATCTCAAAGTAAGTAGATCAGTGACCTCTTGCATCGACTTAACATGGCTCTCCTGGCTTCTTCGCTGTCTTTTGTGTTTTCATTTGAAGATCTAGGCAGGTGACTGAAAGGGGATACTTCTAGCGAAATGTTTGGTTCCATACGGTTCAAGTGACAAGTGATGGTTTCTGAGCTTAGTTCACCAACTTCATGAATGCAGGAATCTCATGGTCACATTTGCATTTGTTACAGATCTGAGGTTAGGATTGGTGTCTGGAAGCTAGTCTTCGATGTTTATTTACCTCAAGTTTAGAAGAGTAGTCTGCATTCTGCATCGATTGGGAAATCTAATTAGCCAGATATTGATTACCTGATTAGCATATAAGTCTGTTGGATCTTGAAGAGCCTAGCTAGGTCCTCCCAATCCCATATAACTCGTAGCTTTCCTTCTGCCAGTTGTCTCCCGCTAAAACTGCCCTTTAAGTAAGAGGCTTTATAGTTCTTCCTAACTAACTTGGGAGTTTTTATGAGTTTGCTGGTGCTTTCCTTCATGATAATACCTTCGTCATAATTGTTATACCTGTCCTCCTACTAGTGTTTGTGCTTCATTATCTTTAAAAATGTACAATGTGAACCATATTTAGGAACTCCAACGTGCAACAATGCTGTATTATGCCTGGCAGGGGTTCTGGTTTTTATCCTCTTTAGACAGTTTAAATTGCTGAATGGAAACTAGATTTGGCTTACTGTGCTTGTGCATGCAATGTCCTTCCCGAGAAAAGCGATGACCACTAAAAGCCCACTCCCTATCCAATGCCTTATGAGAAGTTTCCGTATCTTTTGGTAGTTCCATATGGCGCAGATACTAAGGCTAACTATCTGGAACATGCACATAAGAGAGAGCAGTTTACTGACACTTATTATTGCTCTACTTGAGATTTGAACTCTTGTTGGTAAAGCTTATTTATGGCTCCTTTGAACGTTTAGGAGGATTGCTGAGGTTCGAGAGAATGAAAGGCGTAAGGCACTGGAAGAGATCATCTACTCTTTGATTGTTCAAAAGTTTCTCGACAAAGGCATCACAATGATACCAAAGATAACACCCACCTCGGATCCCGCTGGACGAGTGGACTTCTGGCCGAACCAGGAGCAGAAGCTGGAGTCTGTTCACTCTGCTGAAGCCTTCGAAATGATACAAAGCCACCTATCTCTCGTCTTAGGAGACCGCTCGGTGGGCCCTCTCGATACCATCATCCAGATCAGCAAAATCAAACTAGGCAAGCTATACGCAGCTTCAATAATGTACGGATACTTCCTGAGAAGAGTTGATGAGAGGTTCCAGCTCGAGAGAACCATGAACACCCTTCCCCAAGGTTACGATGAGAACCGGGCTAGATACGAGGAACTCAGATCCTCGACCAAGGGGCTGTGGGACCCAGACTCCTTAATAGAAATGATGCCGGATGATGGTGGTGATAACGTTGATGATGGAACGTCATACAGACTGAGGTCGTATGTTATGTACTTGGATGCAGAGACGCTTCAGAGATACGCGACCATGAGATCTAAAGAAGCGGTTTCTTTGATCGAGAAGCAGACCCAGGCACTGTTTGGTAGGCCGGACATAAGGATAGCGGAGGATGGTTCGCTAGACACGAGCAACGATGAAGTGGCCTCTCTGACCTTCTCCGGACTGACAATGCTGGTCTTGGAAGCAGTAGCATTCGGGTCTTTCTTATGGGATGCTGAGAGCTATGTTGAGTCCAAGTACCAGTTCTTGAATGGCTGAGAGTTCTATTCTTTTCATATCTGGATTTGTTATGATAGCTTTGTAGGTTGTACAAAACAGGAAATTTGTTTTACATTGTAAAACGAGGGATGTTGTATACTTGTATTCTTGTTTGGGGATATGAAAGAACTGATAGCAGCTGAAGAGGTTGTATAAGCAGGGTGAAAGAAAAAGGAAAAATATTATTGCTTCCATTTGTTTGCATCGGTAGTCATCTACAGTACATAAACATCTGTCATCAGGTAAGAACCCAGAAAAGAGTAAATGACGCCAATCCCCCACGCTTTCAGTTTGTGAAGCCCACAGTTCAAATTGGGCCTCACCGTCACGAGAAGTTCGGCCCATTATAGCATATATCTACCGCGGGAGAAAAAGAGCGGGTAAAAGAAAAAAAGGCAAAATACAACGGTATATCCACAACTATCAGATTTGTGACAAATATATCTACAACTATCGAAATACACAAAATATCCAAAAATCAGAAGGTTCTGTGACAAATCTATCCACTTCCGTCTGAACCTATAACGGCGTGTCGGACGACGTTAAATTGACTAACAGAATGCTGAATCGATGCCATCTCACCTGCCACATAAGCCAAAAAGCAACCAAACTTTACACGTAGATGCCAAATAGGCTAGTTGAATAAAGACAAAATACAGTTGTATATCCACAACTATCAGGTTTGTGACAAATATATCCACCAGTATAAGGTTTGTGACAAATATATCGACAACTATCGAAATACAGTAAATATCCATTTCTATCCACTTCGTTAACTCCGTCAGTTAACTTGATGACTGGACAGACGGTGGATGCTTAGTTGGCGTGTTTCTGGCCCCACTGAATGATGTGGATTAAAAGAGGGAAATTTTTTTAAAAACCCTAAAAACCACAGTCAGCGAGACTAAAAATCCAACCCAGAAACATGCCCGATAACCACTTATCCTTCTCCGATCAACGGCTCCACCCCCAAATAATCCTACCCCAAGCCCAGATTTCGATTCCAACCACAATCCCCAACCATTGCCTCCCTTTTACTCCGACAGCTTCCATGCAGTCGGCGCCATGGTGATACCAAGCCTGAATCTCAAACAAAAAAAAAACTTGAATCTAACCAAATTGCCAACAGAGAAGACCGCAGCAGCGAGGTCTAACAGCTAACGGTGTAAAGTTTGCTTGCTTTTTGGCTTATGTGGCAGGTGAGATGGAATCGATTTAGAATTCCGTAAGTCAATTTAATGTCGTCTGACACGTCGTTATAGTTTCAGACGAAAATGGATAGATTTGTCACACAACCTTCCGATTTTTGAATATTTCGTGTATATCGATAGTTGTGGATATATTTGTCACAAACCTGATATTTGTGGATATACAACTGTATTTTGCCTAGATTTTTTTTCCCTCTTTTAATCCATGTCATTTAGTGGGGTCAGAAACACGCCAACTAAGCATCCACCATCTGTCAAGTCATCAGGTTAACTGACGGAGTTAACGAAGTGGACGAAAATGGATATTTCATGTATTTCGATAATTGTGGATATATTTGTCACAAATCTGATAGTTGTGGATATACAGCTGTATTTTGCCAAGGAAAAATCAAGGAACATTTAGCGGTGTATTTCTCCGGCGGACGGTCTCATGCGCCGAGAATCTGAAACCACCGTGTGGAATCAGAGCTCTTTCCGAACGCACTCCAGCAAGATTCAGATAAGTTCCGAAACTCGCTCACTGTTCTATTGATCTGTTGTTGTTGGGGAGAAGTAATTTTGTGGATCACAGCTTGTAAATGCATTACACTGGCGACGTTCTTGTTGGAGGTTGAAACTTCAAAGCGTTAACAGCAAAAGAAGAGGGAGCAATGAGCGCCGAGAATCTGAAACCACCGTGTGGAATCAGAGCTCTTTCCGAACGCACTCCAGCAAGATTCAGATAAGTTCCGAAACTCGCTCACTGTTCTATTGATCTGTTGTTGTTGGGGAGAAGTAATTTTGTGGATCACAGCTTGTAAATGCATTACACTGGCGACGTTCTTGTTGGAGGTTGAAACTTCAAAGCGTTAACAGCAAAAGAAGAGGGAGCAATGAGAGAGATACTCTGTTGCCTTGTATTTGCAATACACTAGTTGTCTGCACACAACTAGGTCATTGTTTATATGTAAATAGAATGGGAGGAACTGGACACCTCTGGGCTATGGTCAGTGTCTTGTTTGTCTCCTTACCTAACATTATTGACGGGTCTAATTCAATGATTATATATAGATAAAACAATAGTTGATCATGAAATTGGCGAATGTCTTATTCATTCTGGGTCGAGATTAGTTAATCTGTCATTTGTATGATTGCATCAACTTGAGCATTGTTTACTGTTTTTTTCCTCTTTGCCAACTGCTGCCTCTTCATTTTCCACCACCATGTTCACCTTTACAATAATACATGTGTTTTTGAATCGTATAACCCTTGTTCTTCCTTTCCTTTGCATCCTCTTCCTTTCTCTGCCTTTTCCAAAAAAATGGCATTTGCTGTTGCAGATACAATCCTGAAAAAGTTGGGCCCCCTAGCTGTTGAACAAGTAGGCCTCCTTTGGGGTCTCAAGAGCGAGGTTTTGAAACTGAAGAGCACGGTCACTTCTATCCGGGCTGTGCTGTTGGATGCAGAGGAGCAATCCGGTCTTAATCATCAAGTTCAAGTGTGGCTTGATGAACTAAAGCAAGTCCTTTATGATGCTGACGACTTGTTGGATGACTTTAACACTGAGGCCCTGTTGAGACAGCAACAGATGGATATCCATGGCAATCGTTGTACGAGGGAGGTAAGCCTCTTCTTTTCCGGTTCCAACCCATTGTTTAGCGGTCTTTGGATGGCTCATTGGATTAAGGCCATCAGGATCAAGTTGGATGAGATTGATCAGAATAGAACAAAGTTCAACCTTCAAACACGACTCGAGGAGCCTGTTGCTGCTATGAGCAACCTTGGCAGACAGACAGATTCCTTCGTCCCTAATGTATTTGTTGGGAGGAAAGAAGATGGTGACAAGATAATAAGCTTGTTGTTATCATCTAGTAATGAGCAGAAAGTTGAAGTTATTCCAATTCTTGGAATAGGGGGTTTGGGGAAAACAGCATTGACTCAGTGTGTTTATAATGATAAGAGTGTAACTTCTCATTTTCAACTGAAAATTTGGTTATGTGTTTCGAATAATTTCAATGAAACAGTGCTGGTCAAAAAAATGTTGGAGTCTTTAACCGGAGGCAAAGTGGAAGATCTTCAGCTGCAAACTTTGAAGAGTAATTTGAAGAAGCAAATGGATAATAAGAAGTTTTTGCTGGTTTTGGATGATGTATGGGATAATGGTGATTACGAGAGCAATTGGGATAGGTTGATGAATTTTTTGTGGAATGTTGGTGCAGTGGGGAGTAAAATTATCGTAACTACACGAATTGGAAGTGTTGCAAGTCTGATGGCAACGAAAGGGATTAAACCACATGAGTTAAAAGGCTTATCCAGACAAGAGTCGTGGTCTTTGTTTGAACAGATAACATTTAAGAGAGAAGTAGTGGAAGGTGGCCAAAGGTTTAAGCAGATAGGAGAAGAGATTGTGGAAAGATGTGTTGGAGTTCCTTTGGCTATAAAGGCAATGGCTGGTATCCTGTCGTCGAAGAGAGATATAGTTGATTGGGAGGCTTTAAGAGACAAGCAAGCACGGTTAGACAGGGTTGACAGTGATAAAAGGATATTGGCAACTCTAAGGTTGAGCTACGACAACCTCCCTTCCCATTTGAAACCATGTTTTGCTTATTGTAGCTTGTTTCCAAAGGATTGTGAGATTGATGTGAGAATGTTGGTACAACTTTGGATGGGGCAAGGGTATATTGATTGTAGCCAATCATCATCGTCGAATCTATATGACATCGGAGTTGAATATTTCAAGAGTATGTTATCGAAGTCATTTTTTCAAGAGTCGTCCTTAAATCAATTGGGGGATCTGGATGTCTGTAAAATGCATGATTTAATGCATGATCTAGCTCTGGAAGTTGCGGGGAAGGAGAACTTCACTTTGAGGGCCTCAAATTCAGTGGTTAATGATGATATAAACTTTAATAGGCTTCTACACTTATCAATCGATTTTGAGGAAATACTAAGAGAGTCATGGAAAGTTCCAGGTTTGTTGCTCAAACCAACAAAACTGAGGACTTTTCTTACTACGAATTTGCATTGGCGGGGCATGAATGCACATGGAGGAACCCAATATGAGACTATCTTCTCAAATATGACTGGTCTGAGAGTTCTAAATTTCTGTGGTGCTCGTATAGAGATTGTCCCTCCCTGCATCCATAAGTTGAAACGTCTCAGGTATCTAGATCTTTCTGATAATGAAATGGAAATGTTACCCGATGAGATCACAAGACTGGTAAACTTGCAAGTGCTGATCTTAGATGATTGTGGACTGCTTCAAGAACTGCCAAGAGACATAGTGATGTTGTCCTATCTTCAGTGTCTTAGTCTTATTGGCTGTAACGCTCTAAGAGGCTTACCATCTGGAATCGGGAAACTGACTAGTCTGAAAGAATTGTCCACATTCATAGTAACCAGTGCAGTGCGCTCAGAATGGGGAGCTGCTGCTGCTGCCAAAATTTGCGACTTGAAAGATCTCAATCTAAGCGGGAGGTTGGCAATTACGAATCTGGAATCGGTCGAGACACTTGAAGCTGAGGCAGCAAGTTTAATGAGGAAGCAAAATCTAAGAGCCTTGGAATTGAAGTGGAAGGAAAGTAGTCAAGAGGCTAATGCTACCGGGAATCTGAGGACACTAGAGGCGTTGGAGCCTCATGAAAATTTGAAGGAGCTGATGTTATCGGGTTACAGCGGATGGAGTCTGCCCACCTGGTTTTCTAACTCTCTCAAGAATGTGACGAGAATCCGTCTATATAGTTGCGGAGGACTGCCATATCTGCCGTGGCTGGGTCCATTAGTTTTCCTTGAAGAATTGACGTTGTATCATCTAACCTGCTTAGAGTACATACAGACCACTCCACCACCACCATCATCTACTTCTAACAATGTGCAGTATCTTCCCTGCCTCAAGTCTCTCCAAATTGGGAATTGCCACAACCTAATCAGCTGGTGGTCGACCACAGTAAAAGAGGCGCCGCTGTTCCCTTGTCTCTCCTCTCTTTCGATTTCTCGCTGCGAGAAACTGGTATCCGTTCCTAGGCTCTCGTCGCACGTCGAAAGGGTTCTGTTAAAGGGTGTGAAGAGTGAGCTGTTGGCTGAGTTCGCTGCTGCACTTCCTCCACCCCATTCCCCAACACAGTCCCAATTTAAATCACTTACAATTGTTGGCGTGAAAGGTCAACAAGTTTTGGTTCCAGAGATACTGCCACAGCTTGTTTCGCTTGAATACCTGAGCATACAGCAGTGCCCAAATTTAACGACTCTGTCTCCACCACCAGCAAATATTCTTAGTCAAGAACATCTCCCGTCCCCTCAAAGTGTTACTAACAACAACATGGTGTCACTGTATGCGCTTCCTGCCCTGCTTCGCTTTAGGATCAAGGCTCTCAAAAGCTTGGAGTGTCTACCAGAATGGCTTCAGCATTCCTCTAAGTTGCAGCTTCTGGAGATAACTGAGTGTGAGGGTCTCGAATGCTTACCAGAGTGGCTCCCAAAGCTCGCAGCGTTGGAGACCTTGGAAGTAGACTCATGTGGCCGTCTATCACCGAGGTTGGAAAGCAAGATGTCTGAAGACTGGCCCAAAGTTGCCCACCTTCAGAATATCAAAATCAATGATTTAGTGGTTCAACGACATGGTAACTACTCAGCAGAAGAAGTAGCAGAAGAAGAAGATCATTACCAAGTAGAAGAAGCGGAGGGAGACGAAGAAGATGAAGAAGAAGAAGCAGCAGCAGCAGAAGAAGAAGAACTACCCACAGGCACCCAGTTTACAAGGTAGATACATTCTTCCGTTTCTTCTACTCAACCATGAAACTATATAAATTTGTAGGTAGGATTCGCATTTCAAAACGATACACATTGCTCCATGAGATAGACATCTGTTGTGGTACAACGAAGTGCGAACTACGAACACACACTGATTCTCATCCTTTTCTCTTTGCGCTACAGTGAACTTTCTTTTTTCCTCTCCGTTAATCATATATTTTCTTTCCTGCCTTTTGAGGAAACGTCTTCCATTTCCTATGCTATGAACACATTTCTTTAGTAGGAAAGCACTTCCTGACATTATTAACTAATTTTGGTGCTGCATTGCAGGATTTTGTCAAATTGCATAGCAAGGCTGACTTGCAACATTTTTCACAGATGCTTTCTCTGCTAACTACCTTCTACAGTCATTTCCCACGATGGCTAACTGTAAGGTGAGTTTCTGAAGATTAAATCTCTCGTGCCTACACTGAGTATCACTAGCTTCTTGCCATTTAAACTAAAAAAAGTTAAGGAGTGAACTTAAGGTGGATTTGCTTCTTAGCTGTAGTTGAATTAATTATAAGAAGGCAGCAGGAGCTACTGGCTGTTGCTGCTGCAATTCCTCTTCCCATGGCTGCCAAAAGGGCTTTTCCTACTCCCAGCTTAGTTAAGCTATATTGCTTAGTCAGCTTTTCTGTGAATCAGCTTCTCCATGAAATTGAATTAAGACGGGTAAAATGATGCAGTTTTAGCTACATGAGAACTTGATATTCTGATTCTCTGGCTGTTTGTTATTTTTAGAATTTTATTTGGATGGTATAAGTTTTGCTAAAAGGATGTTTTTTATTTTTTAGCAATTAATGATGATGCAATATCCCTTGACCGTGTTTGATATAAGTTTTATTTTTCTTTCATAGGTATCTTCGAAGAGAAACATTTTAGATGCTAAATATACAAGATCTTCGTAGTAATTAATTGCTCGTCTTCTTGCTTGATTAGATTCGCAGGAGAAGAGGCGATCAGATTTCGCTCGCCGTCGTCGACGGTGAAGAAGTCGAGAGAGAAGAATTTCGAGAGAGATAACAAATGTATGGTAGGTCGACGATTTGAGGTTTATTTTTTTTCCAGTTAAATGACTTTGTACAGGGCGTCGTTTTAGTTATTTGAGTAGTTCTGATTTTTTGGGTTTTAACATTGGATCGGATCAGACTCAATTCAATTCGGTCGCGATGAAAAACGTCTCCAATCTAATTCAATTTCCGATTCCAGTTTTAGGGGGAAATCAATCCGGTTAACCGGACCGTTCCCATCCCTAAATAAATAGCTATGGATTTTTCAAATTTCATCCCTAATTCTCCCGCCCAGCTTCAGCTGTGGGAAAATGAAGGGGTCAGAACGCTTTCCCCTCTCCTCATATTCCGATCGCCGGCGAAACGCGAAGCGGCGGAATTTTTCGTGTCATGATTTCCAAATCAGCGGTGCACTTCTCCGGCCGACTAACTCTGTACGTACAAACACCACCTTTAATATTGAGACCACCGTTCGGAGGGAATCAAAGCTCCTTTCCGATCGGCGGCAAACCACAATTCAGTTGTGTCTCCGTTAAATACTGCAACTGCCTTTTATGCTTGCTCGAAATTCAGTAGCCAGAAAGTTACAGTTTCAGGTGTACTTTCCAACCCGCGTCGGGTGAATCTCTCCCCGTCAATGGTCTGATCTTAATTGCCTCCTGACCTAGCATTGCATGATTCCCTGCGCTCCTTAACTGTCGGATCTCGTCTCAAGAATAGACTATGATCAATTTGGTGAATACCTATATTAGTCGTCTTGGATCGAGATATGTTAATTTTCACATGGCATCGCATCAACTTGAGCATTGTTTACTGTTTTTTCTTCTGACCAAATCAGTGCAGCAGAGGCAGTAGCTAGCCCGCTAGTCTGGGCAAGCAACTGGTGTATCCATCTTAGATAATTTTCTGCCAAGCACCATCTTCATATAATTAATCCAAGTCAACTCTTGAATTTCTGAGTGGTGTACATTCTACACAAGGTTCTTCCCCCCTTGCACTTCCTCTCATTCGTAGCAAATTACTGATCCTCTTCCTGATTTATGCTTTGCCTGTGAAACCCTATTTCTCTCTTCCAGAAATGGCATTTGCTGTTGCTGAGGCTATCCTCAAGAAGTTGGGTCCCTTAGCTACTGAACAAGCAGGCCTCCTCTGGGGTCTGAAGAGCGAGGTTTTGAGACTGAAGAGCAAGGTTACTTCCATGCGGGCTGTGCTGTTGGATGCAGAGGAGCTATCTGGCTTCAATAACCAAGTTCGAGTCTGGTTGGATGAACTGAAACAAGTCTTTTACGAGGCTGAAGATTTACTGGATGATTTCTCCACGGAAGCTCTGTTGAGGCAACAACAGGTGTATAGCGATGGCAATGTCAGTTTGAGTGAGAAGGTACATCTTTTTGTTTATTTTTCGATTTCACTGGCATAGTTTTTCATAATGATCATATTTAGATAAATTATAGATGAAAAACACCACACAAGTACATATTCGTATCATATAGCAACTAGAGAAGAAAAGGAAAAAAAGATGAAGAACAAATGAAACTAAGCTGAATAGAAAGGTGGAAAAAGATCAAGAAAATAAGAAAGTAAGGTACAGGTTGTGATGTAAACTGAGCTATTACTTTTCCTGAAAAGTTTCTTCTTTCCTGCATGTTGGTGTTGGTTCACCATACATAGTTAATCAAAAGGATGATAATGTAATAATTAATAAGAAGAAGAATATAGGTGTTGTAAGACTGATGGAAAACAATGAAGGCACAAGATGTCTGGGATAAACAACTCTCATCATCTCTATTATTCCCTAAACCAAATTACCAATTAAATCACTAAAGTGTTATGGTAAATTAAATCGTAGTACACTACTACATATTTTAGTTAGTGATGGCAATTTCAACCCGCCTTGCAGGTATTACCCGACCTGACCCATGATGGGGTGGGTATTACTCGACCCGCAGTAGCGTGGGGCGAGACATGGGTATTTACTTCTGACCCGCTCTGCCCCACCCCGCCCCGTTCTAGACCCATTTTATCTCAATTTCTTATAGTATTTATACATATTTCTCTTATTTTAACTTTTCTTCAACTAGTTAGAGTTATCTTTCAACTTGTTAGACTAAATTACCCATTCTATTATAACTATTTTTCATTCATAAAGTAATTTTCCCTTCGTTTTATCTTAAAAAGTACAATTTGCATGTATTTTTTTCAAATAACATGTAAGAGTGAGTCGACCCGTCCCGCCCTGCAGTAGCGTGGGGCAGTGCATGAGAATTGAGGTACTCGCCCCGCCCTGCCCCATTGCCATCACTAATTTTAGTTATTTAGATTTGTGGCCCAATCATATAAAATTAACTACAAATGGTTCTTCGGATTCCAATAGGTACAACTATCATTTTCGAGTTTCAACCAATTGTTTAGTGGTCTCGTGATGGCTCATCGGATTAAGGCCATAAGGACCAAACTAGATGAGATTGATGAAAATCGGAAGATGTTCAACCTTCAAACGCGACTTGAGGAGAAATCTTTTGCTCTCAGCAAGATCGGCAGGCAGACTGACTACTTCGTCCCTGATGTGTTTATTGGGAGAGAAGAAGATAGTGCAAAGATAATAAGCTTGTTGTTATCGACCGACAAAGGGTTGAAAGTTGAAGTTATTCCAATTCTTGGTATAGGGGGTCTGGGGAAAACAGCACTGGCGCAACATATTTACAACGACAAGAGTGTGAGCTCTTATTTTCAGCTTAAAAGTTGGGTATGTGTTCCAGATAATTTTGACGAAACAGTATTGGTCAAAAATATTTTGGAGTCTTTGACTGAAGACAAAGTTAGAGATCTTCAATTGCAAACTTTGAAGAGTAAATTGAAGAAGAAAATGGATAATAAGAAGTTCTTTTTGGTGTTAGATGATGTTTGGGATAAAGGTAATTACGAGAGCAACTGGGACAGTTTCATGAGTTTTTTGTGGAATGTCGGCGCAATGGGGAGTAAAATCATCATAACTACACGTATCGGAAGTGTTGCAAATTTTATGGCGACTAAAGGGGTTGAACCACATGAGTTACAAGGATTAAACAAACAAGATTCATGGGCTTTGTTTAAACATATAGCATTCAAGAGAGAAGTACAGGAAGGTGATGGAAGGTTTGTACGGGCAGGAGAAGAGATTGTGGGAAGATGTATTGGAGTTCCTTTGGCTATAAGGTCGATGGCTGGCGCATTGTCGTCAAAGAGAAATGTGGTTGATTGGGAGGCTTTAAGAGACAAGCAAGCACGACTAGATAGGGTTGGGAATGATAAAAGGATTTTGGAAACTCTAAGGTTGAGTTACGACAACCTGCCTTCTTACTTGAAACCCTGTTTTGCTTATTGTAGCTTGTTTCCAAAAGATTGTGAGATTTCCATAAGAATGTTGGTACAACTGTGGATGGGGCAAGGATATATTGATTCTAGCCAATCATCATCATCAAATCTATATGACAGTGGAGTTGAATATTTCAAGATTATGCTATCAAAGTCCTTTTTTCTAGAGTCGTCCGTAAATAAATTGGGTGATCTGGTGGTTTGTAAAATGCACGACTTGATGCACGATCTAGCTCTGGAAATTGCAGGGAAAGAGAACTTCACTTTGAAGGCCTCAACTTCAATGGTCAATGATGATGTCAACTTCGATAGGCTTCTCCACTTGTCATTCGATTTTGAGAACCTACAAAGAGAGTCATGGCAAGTTCCAGATTTGTTACTTAAGCCAACAAAAGTGAGAACTCTTCTTCCTACAAATTTGTATCGATTTGGTATGAATGGATGGGGAGGAACCCAATATGGGACAATCTTGTCTAATATGACTAGTCTGAGAGTTCTAAGTTTCTCTGAGACAGGTATGAAGATTGTCCCACCCTCCATCCACAAATTGAAGCATCTGAGGTATCTAAATCTTTTTGGAAATGAAATGAAGATGCTACCTGATGAGATCACAAAATTGGTGAACTTGCAAGTGCTCATCTTAGACTATTGTGGACAGCTTCAGGAACTGCCAAGAGACATTGTGAAGTTGTCTCATCTTGAGTGTCTTAGCCTTGATGGTTGTTGTGCTTTGAGAGGCTTACCATCTGGGATCAGGAAACTCGCTTGCTTGAAAGAATTGTCCACATTCGTAGTGACAACGGTAGCTCACTTAGAATCAGGAGCCACCGCTGCCAAATTTAGCGAGTTGAAGGATCTCAATCTAAGCGGGAGGTTGACAGTTACGAATCTGGAATCGTTGAAGGAGAAGGCTGAAGCGGAGGCATCAAGTTTAAAAACAAAGCCAAATCTTCGAGCCTTGGAATTGATGTGGGATAGTGATCAAGAGGCTAGTGCTGCTGGGGATTTCAGGACACTAGAGGCGTTGGAGCCACATGAAAATTTGAAAGAGCTGATGATAAGGGAATACAGCGGATGCAGTCTACCCACCTGGTTTTCTAGTTCTCTCAAGAATGTGGTGATAATCCGTCTGGAATGCTGTGTGGGACTGCGATATCTGCCATCGCTGGGTCCACTGGTTTCCCTTGAAGAACTGACGTTGCATTTTCTAACCCACTTAGAGTACATACAACATGATGAGGCATTTGCAGCACCATCATCATCTACTTGTAACAACAACTATAATACTGTGCAATATCTTCCACGCCTCAAGTCTCTCTCCATTACAGGTTGCAGTAACCTGATTAGCTGGTGGTCGACCACAAAGATAGAGGTGCCACTATTCCCTTGTCTTTCCTCTCTTGACATTTCTTACAGTGAGAAACTGGTATCCATTCCTCGGCTTTCGGTGCACGTTGAGACGGTTGGGTTATTGAGTGTAAAGAGTGAGCTGTTGGGTGAGTTTGCTGCCTCACTTCCTCCACCCCATTGCTCGACACAATCCCGATTCAAATCACTTAGAATCGAATGGGTGGAAGGTCAAAGAATGTTGGTGCCAGAGCTTCTGTCACAGCTTGTTTCGCTTGAATACCTGTGTATACAATTTTGTCCAAACTTGATGACTCTGTCTCCACCACCAGCTGATATGCCTAGTCAACAAAATGTCACCTCCCTTCAGAGTGTTACTAACAACAACATGGCTCCACTGTATGCCCTTCCAGCCCTGCTTCGCTTTGAGATAAACTCCCTCCATAGTTTGGAGTGTCTACCAGATTGGCTTCAACATTCCTCTAAGTTGCAGCTTCTGGATGTAACTTTTTGTGATGATCTTGTGTGTTTACCGGAGTGGCTCCCGAAGCTCACAGCGTTGGAGAATTTGGAAGTACACTCATGTGCTCGTTTATCACCTAGGTTGGAAAGCAGGATGGCTGAGGATTGGCCCAAAGTAGCTCGCATCCCAAATATCAAAATCAATGGTAGAATGGTTCAACGGAATGGTAACTACTTGGCAGTAGAAGAAGAAGAAGAACAAGAAGATCAATACCAAGAACAAGAAGCGGAGGGGGGAGAAGAAGATCAAGAACTACCCACAGGCACCCAGTTTTCAAGGTAAGTATACATTCTTGAGTCAATACTTTGTTCCATCAGACAGACACACAACTTCTCATCCTTTTCTCTTTCGCTACAATGTTGAATTTTTCTTCTTCTCTACATTACTCGTATATTTTCTTTCCCCCTTTTTGAGGGTCTTACTTCCATTTATATGATACGAACATTTGTGTTTAGTATAAAAGCGCTCTACTACATCATTGATTAATTTCTTATGTTGCATTGCAGGATGTTGTCAAATTGCATAACAAGGCTGACTTGCAACATGTTCCACAGATGTTTTCTTTGCTAACTACATTCTGCATGCATTTACCTTGATGGTTAACTATTAGGTGGGTTTTGAGTTTCTGAAGATCACAATTCTCGTGTCTATACTGAATATCACTGGCTTCTTGCCATTTAAACTGAAAAAGTTAAGGGTTGAACTTAAGGTGGGTTTGTGTTCTTAGTCGCAGTTGAATTAGTTATAAGACAACAGGAACTACTGGCTGCTGCTTTTTCCATGGCTGCGAAAAGAACTTTTTCAGCTCCCAGCTCAGTTAGCTATACTGCTGCCCAAGAAGAACTCAACAGCTTTTATGTGAATCAACTTCTCCATTCAATCGAAGTAAGTAATTAATAGATGGGATCAACTGATTTCTTACTGCAGCAATTCAAAGTTGTAAGAGACTGCAATTTACTTGTGTGTTTGCAAGCTGCAATGCGAAGGGTCTGTGTGCCTGTGGATAGTGTGCATGCTGTTGAGCTTCTCTAGCCTGCTCAAGTATTTGGCTAAAGTTAATAGCACTTGAACTTGAAAGTTATAGTGTCTTTATTCCAATAAGACTGTACTCTGCAGTTGTTTGATTATTTAGAGTGCCGTTTGGATGTTAAGCATTGCTGAAAGGATGTTTCGTTTTTAACTTCTAGCCTTACCCAATTAAGGGTGTAATATGCAGCGACTGTCTCTGGGTTGATATAGATGATTTTCATTGAGCGCCATTATCTCTTGCCTGATGTGCTTTGTTGTCAGTAAGAAAAGTTCAAGTATAGGGTGGTGTTTGATCGTGTCGTTCTTTAAGCATCGTGGTGGTTGTGAAATTTTCCCTTCTTCCTCTTTTATCTTTCGGGTTCTCGTGGAGGGGGTTTGGGAAGGTAAGTTTATGGTGAAAACTAGGGAAATTGCTGGGTTTGAATATCGATTAAGTGTATCAAACTTTTGCCTCAAACTTCATGATGACTTTTGCGTTTGTTGCAGACCCAAGAGTGGGATTGGATAACAGGAAACCAGAACTGGCTATAATAATGGCTTCAGAAAACCTTAAGCTAATCTGCAAATTTGCAAGCCCCCTCCTGCATTCTGCACTGATCGAGTAATCTGGAAAGTCGGACGTTGAACTCCAGATGTTAACTGGGTTAGAGACTTTTCAAGTACATTACCTTCTTCTGTCAAACTGAAACTCAAACGAGATTCAAGACTGCTCGAAAATTGCTCACTTTCTAAATGTTGTAATCAGTGGGAGATGGATCGAGCGGAGGAGGAAGAAGAAGGATCAGATAAAGAGAAACAACAAGAACATGGCCACCGAGAAGTGACCTCAGGCCCCCAGTCCTCGAGGTAAACATTCTTCTTAGCACAGCTTTATCTCATCCCTTTCTTTTGCAGGCTGCAGTGTTGAACTTACATCATGTTGATTCCTCTGTCTCCACAACATTGTTGCTGAATTGAGGGGATATTAAAGTGTTAGAATAACTTTGTTGGTGTTACTGCAGGTTGTCGGATTGCGAAGCCGAGACTGACTCGCAAGCTTTTCCAAAGTTGTTGTCTCTGCTAGTAGCAACAGCACATCTTAAATCTTAAAAAATATTAAAGCATTTTGATTTTAGACCCCTAGCCACGTAATCCCAAATGAGAGGAGAGGCTGTCCACGTCACTATCTATCTTTCTCCTTTTCCCTTTATTTATTTGTTTCCAGTTTCCACCGCAAGCGGCCAAAATTTCTTTCCCTCCAGGAAAACTGCCTTCACTTCTTCCTTCCTTCTCCTTAACTGCCAGAGACTTCCTTCTTCTTATCTTTTCTTACGTATTCCCCACCGCCAACTTCCCTTAGCACATCGTTCTATCTTCTTTTCGACCGGAAATCTGAAAAACGTGACCTCCTCCAACCTTCAATTGCACTGAAAAAGTCACCTCAGTCGAGGCGTTTGAAATTGTTTGCCATTGAAGGTCGATTGGCTGCGACAACAACGGCGTGCGGATGCAAGGAACGATACAAAGATATGACGATTCATATCCAGGCAGGCCGTGGAAACGAAGTGGACGACTCCCTGCGACTTCCGACAATGGGTAGGAGAGGCAGAGGGTAAGGAATTCCGATATGTGGACATAAAACGAGTTTGACGAGGGAGATGGAGGTCACGGCAGCGGCGACATGGTGCTACAGAGAGGAATGATTGGTTTTTATTTAAGCCGAAATTTGTCTTTTACAGGTACACTTTATTCTCTTAATATAACCACTAGGGTTTAATTTTTACAGTGATCATGATATGAAATCTTGATTTGGTTTATTGCACCAATAATGAATAATATTCAATGGCATGCGTTTAGTTTTTATAAGGAACACACATCTTACTTAGTATATGTGATTCAAATGTAGTGTTTGACATTTAACATTGATTAATGTATCATGTTTAATATGTTAATTTTTCGTGTTTAAATTGGCTATTTTAAACATAAAGTTGTACAACGAGATTTTGCCAACTCCTTTGAAGACATGCATAAAAATTAGGGGGAATTAATTATATGTACATGCGAATAATGTTAGTAGAAGTTTTAACATGTTCATAAAATAATTAGAAATTTTGAAATTTTATAAGCATATTATGAAATGAAATATAACACATGAAATTTACCCGGCCAACATGCCGGGAACAAAGCTAGTTCTGATTAAAGGGGAACATGGTCGCTCATTTGTTCATCATGGATCTTGTCTCGAAGGCTTCACAAATCACAAATAAAAAATGTCTTCCTACATTCTCCACAGTCGGCGTCTCATGTAAATTGGCGCGAATAATTTAAGCTCTTCTGTGGGCTGGGCTTCCATGGGCTACAAAGCCAATCTCCGTTAGGGACCAATTAATTGGAACTTACGAGCATTGTTTTGGGCTGAAATAGATGAAACTATTATAGGCTGTTGTGGGCCTTCACATGGATTTCGGCCTACATGTTTTATGGCCTTGTTTCCCCCTCTAATTTTAGCTCGAATTGGATTGAACTGAGATTAAATATCATTTTCCCAATAAATCATTAGTCTTCTGATTATCTCTGACTTATATATAGCTAACAATAGTTAGTTACTGATGAATAATGTTTCAGCCTGAGAACTACCTGAATACTGAAATATGCGATATACATTTTTTTTCTTCTAAATATGGTGACACTACAGTAATGGTACTCTACAGTAATTTGAAAAATGGTACTCTACAGTAATTTTTAATTGATAAATCATAATATCCTAATTCTCTAAAATCATAAGACCAATTAATCAAAAACAACATAACAATTAACGATAAGATCATTAGTAGTACGCTAGCTCGCACTCGCAACGATAACAACATCATATGAAATCTGAAATCATATAAAGTGGTTATAGAGTTGTTTTGGGTGGTTGGTTGGTCAACCAAATACATTTTGGGGGGTGAGGTAGCAGGTTGTAGAGTATATCTGTGACTGTTAGTCTCACAAAACATCATTGGTCGAACCCAATAAAAAAAACAATGGGGAAACATTCATAATTGGAATTTTCCTTCTCAAAATGACATTTTTTCTTCCTTCTAACTCTCTAAAGAACTCATCATCAAGAGGGTTGACTCTACCTGTAAATTGGTATTTTTATGAACAGCCCAAATTGCTCTAAATAATCAGCAGGTGGGGAGTTGGTTTTGTGTCAATGGCAGATGGTATCATCATCTGGTGCTGGTGTTTCAAAAACTTGGCAATGTAATGTCATGATGACAGGGACGACTCATATGACTTGGATAAAGTAAAACCAAAAGTCCCAACGTAATGGCTGATTCATGCCCATAATTTGTATTTGTATAGTGTATTTTTATGCCTTCTCATATCCCAACTTGCCTACTCTCTATGAATATTTGTATTCATAAGCACTCAATACAACTATGGAATTAGCTAATAGCTAGCTAGTAACATGCCTTCAATTCATTCTAGCCCGTTGAGGGCATCAAGTTTGAAATTATAGTAAAACAATTGTATGATTTTTTATTTTTTTTTTGTATGTGACTATTATGTTATCATTTATTGGTGGGTCTGGAGTCTGGACGATAGAATGAGACCAATACTGTATGTACATCGTCGGTTAAAAGAAATTTGGGTTGAACATTTTTAGAACGGAGATGAACAAAGTTGGGTGTTTGGATCTGACTGTGATCGCTATATGCTCGAAATTATGATCTGCAATTAATATTCCATAGGTTCTTAAAACCACCTGAGAAGACTATCTCACGATCGTTATCAAGTCAAACATTAGTATTTTGTAAGAGTTAAGGTGATGAAAGTCGTTAACAATTGCTCGTGTTGGGTGAACATGAGATGATATTTAAATTTTTAACGCAAAACACGAATTTGCCCTCTAGTTGGTTGAACGCTCATGTCAACATAGTTGGACGTCTACCCCAAACCGACTACAATTAACGTTTCATATCTAGACGTCTGAACGACCCCAAGTCCATGTGCATTTGTGCTTCAACCTTAATCGATCAAGGAGTTCAACTTCAATGTCGTCTTGGATTGTCTGTGTTTGAAGTAGCCCACTGAAGGGTGTGCACCGAATTGGTTTATACCAAATCGTATCGGACCGAATATGATATGGTTCGATCCTTCGTGAATTTTATAAGTACTTAAGAAAAATAGACCAAATTAACATTTAGATTGGACAAAACTGGACCGAATGCATTATTGATCCGATCCTTGATCCTAAATTGTCTTTTACTATTCAATGGAACTTTCCTTGATTTTCTTACCAAAATCAACAATGTTGGAGATCGTCAAGTTTTACCAACTTAAAATGAATTAATTAATCGAGTTTGATTAAGTATGTCTATGAGCTCTAATAATCGATAAATCAATTAATTAATCTTCTATCTTTTCATTTTGATATGACATTGTGATGATCCTTCAGCCAAAAATGTGTGCACACATAGACATATATAGTGACCCATAAAGCAATAAGGCATTAGCGTGGCTTTCAAGTTTTCTATTTGGCAATTAAAGTGCAATTAATTCCCCCTTCATCATTTCCCAAATCACATAACAGGAGGATGATAGATGATGGAAGCCTAACACACCCAAGGCCAGCCTATTGAAAGCTGCTTCCATGGGGAATTTCCCATTTTGTTTCTCATGATTGTGGATTTGCTTTCATATGTACAGAATTGTGTGATATAATGTCAAAAGTTAAGTCATTTTTCTCGAGACATGGAATCTCGGTTTTGAGAAATGTTGAAATATAAATTTTAAGTATGCTTATTGTGTTTTTTAAACTATCGTCATTTGGACAAAAAATCTATCGTATCAATAAAACTATCGTTCTTATTCACAAAAAGGTCGACCGCTCATAAGTTGCAGTCGACCTAATAATGAAAAAGTCACCGTGACATAGAAAAAAGGTAGATCGCTATTGAAAAATGATCGATTGGTTACGGTAAATGGTCGAGCTCTTCCGACAAACGATCGACCGCTTCCAACAAATGGTTGACCGGATGATACAGTTACTTCTAATTATAGTCGACAAAATCATGGATAATAGGAGGCTTATAAAACGAAATTTCTTAGCAGTAATACAAACAACATTTCACCCATGAGAAGTCAAATCTCTACGAAGACTATCACCATGGAAAGAAAGAAATAACACACAATTTAACACTTCTGGACCTTGAAGATGGTATGATTGTATAACAATGCTATCCTACTTTTTAAGTCTCTTCGTAATGACAATGAAACCCGCACCACCACAAGTCAATTACAAAGCTTTAAACCCAAACAATAGTAAGTTTGAAGGAAAGATAAAAGCTTGTATAGAGTAAGTCAAATCTAAGAAATAAACTTACATAATAGTTTCCAAATCTCCGCAAATCTCCACAAGAACAATCACTCAAGAAACCTCTCATGTATGCTCCAATCTTTGTACTCACTTCAACTCTCTTACCAACACGCATATCCATTATCAGTGAACGTCTACAATCAAATAGGTTGATTTCATTAATAACGGTTCATTCGATCGACTGATTGCCAAGAGCCCAAGAGCTATCAACCATTTCCCATAAAAGATTGACCGTTTTCTCCAGGTCACTGTAACTTGTAAATCACCATAGCAAAGTCCTAAATTTTATACCAAAGGTCTTACATCATATATCTAAACACTAGCTATTTTTATATCATATCTTGTAATATGTATTTTGAGTATGAAGATTGGAATTTTATTGCAAGCTATATAGATACCAACTCGCTACATGATTGTGCATTCTATAATGGTCATCATTGTTGTTCGTCGATAGTGCTGTTAAAACAAGATATGTTAGGTTCGGACCAACCAAAATAAATTATGAGAAAAGAAATGAAAACGAACACATTAGGTTTAACTGCTGCAATATTCAAAGTAGTTGTTATAGAACACAATACTAAAGATATGGAGTTGTTCACATTTACCACTATAAAAAAAAGACAGTCAGTGCATCTATTTGTTGGGTGTCTTTTGTCACTGATGCCTATGACATGAACAATACAATCACGAATATGCTCTCGAGTTTAATTTTTACTGTTCGTCATTTTTAAATAAATCTCTTTGCAATAATTATTACAAAATTTATTTGTTTGAATCACTCAGTATTCTCGTAAATTTGACACATGTCTATGCAGATCGTCAAAATCACATTTCTTTGTTGTGTTATATTATTAATGAAAATGGGTTGGTCACAGTCAAAGTTTGAAGCATTTTGTGCATGGAATTAAAAATACTTTGTTTGATTATATATGTCTATAAGATGATGGGTAGACGGAGGCTTAATCATACCCAAAAAAAAAAAAAAAACCATACATCCTTATCATGCTGGCTGTCATCTTTACTGTTATATAACTTACGAGAATAGAAAAAGGAAGAAGCTTACTAAACTAAATTACCCAATTTCCCTGATTAGAGATGACCAATATTCCATGTTAATAAAATTATTCCTTTATTAGTTTAGAATTTCCATTCCAATCCCAAATCATCATCAACACAGAAACTTTGCAACCACACCACTCTCAATACCATCACTACACCAGCAGCGCTGCATGAAGCCATTGAACAAGTTAGTCGTAACGAATTAATTTATCCTATGATCCCGTGTTAAATACAGAGTTAAAATTCTCGCTATATATATTAACGCCGGATAGATTATTTTGGACGATCATGAAAATTTTAAAATCATGTTAAATTTCAATTTGTTGGGAAAATGAGCTGTTTATTTATGAATCCTAAAAATACTATGCGCTAGCTGTTTTTTTCTTTGCAATTAGTGAATATATATGTAGAAGATCACGATATATCTGTGTGGGAAAAAGAAAGTAGATTTAACTTTGCTGTAGTTTCTTAGAAATCTCAATCTGAAATGGGATGGCTTTAATAATAAATTCACATTTCAACCGTGGATGGATGGGATAGAAAACGAGATATCTTTCTGGTTTCCCATACTATACTATGCTATCTATCTTATATAAATCAAACCATGGGGGGGAAAAAAAACCCGACGAGCCATCAATAATAAAAGAAAAAATACACTGATTTACGTGATTTACTAATGTAATATGTGTCAGCTGATTCGCAAGTAGGAAAAATCAATTCCGTCATGTTGAGAAGAGTATAGATTACAAACAGGACAAAACATGATTCATTTATAAACACCCTAATCCATCCATATGATTTCAAGTCCACGAAAGTTAACCAAGACAAATGATGATCACAAATCATCCCACAAGAATTGATCCATTCTATGACTAACATCATATAAATATAATACTGATATTAAATTTTAATTTACGAAACAAAAACTTATCCCCAGCCAGCCAGCCAGCCATATCATGATCATGCAATTAATTAAGCAAAATCCATACAAATCATATAACGTAGTTGCCGATGACTGGCCCCTTTTCTGTCTCTCTATCCTTTTATTTTCCTTTTTCCTCTTTGGGTTTGTAATTGCTTTCACATTAAATTAATCAATTTAAAAAAATATTAATCAAATAAAAAAATAGACGAATTTCTCTACCTCTCTCTCTCTCCATGGAATCAATTTTGTGCAACGCCATGTTTTCTTCGTTGAATAGTAGCATCGATATAAATAGAGGGGAGGGAAAGCAAAGCGGTCAGGGCAGCCAAACCAGAAAACTCATCCATATTTAGCACACAGAAGAAAACGGGACGACGCCATTGGAATATCATCCAATTAATAACACCAATCTTTTCAATCCCTCCCTCCCTCCCAAAAAATTAGCCACCACCAGAATAGGAAGAGAAAGAGAGAAGAACGTAACCATGGGTGGTCTCCGTTCATCTAAAATTTCCTTATTCCCGCCGGCTATCCTCTTTTCGTCGCTGCTGTTTCTTCTATCCTCTATCGCCGACGGAGCAACGCCGTCGTCGTCTTCTTCTTCTTTCAACCTTTCCACGTTGGCCTTCGACGACGCCTACTCTCCCCTCTTTGGCGACGGCAACGTCCTCCGCTCACCTAATGGCCGCTCCGTCCGCCTCCTCCTCGACCGCTCCTCCGGTACGTCTAGTCTCATCATCAAATATAATTACCCGAAAATAAACGTTACATCCTACATGTTCATAATAGGGTATTATGAGTTCGCGCTTTAGTTTGATTGTAAGTAATTTCGTCTTTGATAGGTCAAAGACGAAATTCGAATTGCGCTACAGAAAAAAAAAATTCAATTGAATCGTATTAAACTTGTTCAAAAATTTTACGCTAATACGCGAGGTGATTGTAACACGCGAGTATGAAAATCGATGGCAGGTTCGGGGTTCATATCATCGAAAATGTACAACTACGGATTCTTCAGCGCCAACATCAAGCTCCCCGGCGAGTACACAGCTGGCATATGCGTCGCCTTCTACGTAAGAAACACGAACTCAATCAATCTATTTTATTTTATAATTTATTTCATCAAAATTATAGATGAATTAAATCCCTAGTATATTAATGTTAATAGACGTCAAACGGCGACGTGTTCGAGAAGAGGCACGACGAGCTGGACTTTGAGTTTCTGGGTAACGTGAGGGGGAAGCCGTGGCGGTTTCAGACCAACTTGTACGGCAACGGCAGCACTCACCGTGGGCGGGAGGAGAGGTACAGCCTCTGGTTCGATCCGGCCAAAGAATTCCACCGCTACAGCATCCTCTGGACGCCCGACCAAGTCATGTTAGTATTACTTACTATCTCTTCCCCTATATCCCTTAATTAATTAATTAATTAATTAATTAAATTAACCCCTTCTTTCTTTAATTATGGCAATTGTTCAGCTTAATATATGATTTTTTTTTACACTGCGGTTTAACGTTTTTTACGCGGCATTATTTAATTCTTGCCGCGTGTTATTTTCGTAATTAATTAGTGATGCGTGTGTGCCTAAGGAAATATTTGTTAAAAGTATTACTTATTAGGGTAACAACTAGCTACGAACTAATGGTTGAATCGTTAATAATCAGCCGATGACCGAGATTGACTATCTTAATTTTGATGGAAGATCGATCTCTAAGCGTTATTGAAAACAAGTATGTTATGATCTAACAACAGTATTGAAAACGTTTATAGCAAAAATAATATTGAAAAAGGTTTTGATTTTTCATTTAAATAACGTTGGGTTCAAATTGTGGGAAGTCATTATAAACAGTTTATTTGACCTGCTCATTTTTTTTCGCCGTCCATATAGTTTAAATTTTTAGAGTAAGAACATATGATCGAAATATATATAATCGATAAAAACTAATTAAAATTAACAATTAACTTACAGAATGCTTGGTTTGGTACTAAACTTGCAATCAGATGTAGGTATTTATGTGGTGGTTGAGTATGTTATTATATGTAATCTCCATAGTCTTTCTTAGTGACCATTGTAGTTGATTCACTAACATTTCTTTTTTGGGTTGGCTTGATGGGGAAGTGACCATTAATTATATCATAATTAAAGGTGGTTTCTTTTTGGGTTTTGTTGTTTTATTTCAATTGGGTAGTAGTAGTAGTCATACACAAGCTTGCTTCAATATGTGGCCAAAACATAGATGGGTCTCTTCTCTCTACAATGATGCCAATGGAAAATGGGATAAGGTGGATGCATGTGTTGACTATTAGGCCAAAATGGAATTGCCAATTGAGCAAAAAGGAGGGTAGCAATTGCGTGTGGGAGTTGTAGATACATACGTATTTGATAGAGCTTTGAACTAGTGGAGAGGAAAGTGAGCTTTAACAAATCTTTCATAATTATGGAGGGAGGCCACCACTTTAACCCCCATTTGGCCTCTAATCTCAATCAATAATTGATTGCCCTTAAATGCCATCACTCGCCCTAAGAAGTAGGCCTTATTAGTCACTAATCTACTCTTGTTTACCTTTAATTGTCATAATCTTGATAAAGTATTTACACATATATATGCAACATATACATAAAATGGTCCCATTCATTAACATGCATACCTAAACAAAATGGAAACAACCCATTTGGGGGATAGTAGCTAAAGATGCTTATTTACTCGTTAGGTCACCAACTAGGTTAGCTCTAATTTGGTTACCACTTAACTACCGCATTTAATACATCTTCCCTCCAATGCACATTATACCCTTTTTTGTCCTCCACTTACTTTCGGATTAACATTATAGTACATCGACTCTGTGATAGTAGCTAAAGATGCTTATTCAATCTCTAAGTCACCAACTATGTTGGCTCCAATACACTTAACTACTACTTAAAGTATCGATTAGACTGTGTGCATCTGAAATCACTTGTCATCCTGCAAATACCAAATTACACACAATTGCGCCAACTCATAATATTGTGACAAGTTGCTAATGTGTATCCATTTGGGCTTTTGGGCTTGCAGATTCTACATTGACGACGTCCCAATTCGAGAAATAATCCGAAACGACGAAATGGGCTCGGAGTACCCATCGAAGCCCATGTCACTCTACGCCACCATCTGGGACGCTTCCACTTGGGCCACCTCCGGCGGCCGGTTCAAGGCCGACTACAAGTACGCCCCCTTCGTCGCCGAATTCAAGGACCTCGCCCTCGACGGCTGCCCGCTCGAAGCCGTCCAGCAGGTCGCGTCGGCGGCGGAGGAATTGGACTGCTCCGACAGCCACGCCCGGCTCGCCGCCGCCGATTACTCCACCATTTCCCGAAAGCAGCGATACGCCATGCGGAGGTTCCGGCAGCGGTACCTCTACTACTCCTACTGCTACGACACGCTGCGGTACCCGATCCCGCCGCCGGAGTGCGTGATCGACCCGATGGAGAAGGAGAGGTTTAAGGACACCGGGAGGCTGAAATTCGGCGGCAGCCACCGGAGCCCTAAACGGCGGTCCAAGAGAAGGAGCCGGGCTCGGGTTGTCCCGGTTATTGTTGAGGACCCGGATATGTGATTTTTCCCGTTTTTGTGAAGTTTGTTTTATTCCGGGGGTTGATTTATCTATATGATTAGTTTATAATTAGTAATTAATTACCATTGCCCACCTGTAAATTGAAAGCTCCATCTCTGTCTCTCCCCCTCAGTCTCTTGTAATATATCTGTTTCTTCATTTCCCTCTTGAGTTTTGGTATATGCAATAAAGGAAGCAATTGGTTCTTCATCTTACAACCCTAGATTTCGTAGATGGCAATTTCGACTTAATCCATTCTATTTGATATGGATTCGATGAGAGACGAGTATGAATATAGAGATACTCTATTGCGATTCTTAATTGAGTGGATGGTTAGGTGTAATGTAATGATCTTCCATAATTATATGTCATGACTCTTTGGGAGTTGAGCACTAATCTAGAAAGTAATTACTTCCAATCTGATCATCATTATGATTAATACCCATTAACCCAACCTACTACAATCCATAATCAAAATGAGTGAATGAACACACAAAGAAGAAGGACAAACATATATCACATGTGATGAGTTCACATGATAATGTGGTGGAATAACTTTTGTGATGATTTTTACTTCCAGGCAAAGCAAAGTCACCATCTGAGGTAGCTATCTGTCCCCTTCACAATCACGCATCTCTTTCCCACTCCATCACTCACTGTCCTTCTATATAATGGAGAAACGAAGTATATGTGGCCAATTGCTTCCCCAATATCAAAACGCATTAGTAACTAGGAAGGAACTAGCAAGCCTTCATGAAAGCTACTAAGCCATCAGCTTCATTGCTTCTGTTTCTTCTTCTGGTTCTGGCTCTGGTTCTATCATCTTCCATGGCGGTGGAGATTCAAGGAGGATCCAGAGGCGGCCTCGGCAGCAGACCTGGCGATTCTAGAGGAGTGGAGTGGAAGAGGGTGAATCATGGAAGCCTACGTGGAGGGCAGGCTCACATTGCTAATCCAACTCTTCGTGATCAACCTGCAGCATTTTATCACCTTCCTAAGTTGGTTGTTTAGCTGTAGCTAGCTTTCTTGATCACATATTGGGTCTTTGAGGTTGTGAGAGTATTATAGCCTTCTCACATGTGCAACTTTGTTCTTTCCTTTTGGTGCAAGTCTGAAGTCTCAATAATATTATACCAGTTTGCAATGTCTTATATATTGGTTCACTACTCGCAATAGAATCTTACAACCGTAACTGAGGTTAAGGATGTTAACGTAGATTCGAACCCAACACTTAATTCTTAGCTGATAGAATCTTTAGAGTATGACGAAAGAGGAGGGGAATGACAAGAAAGGAGAAACATAGCTCGAACAGAGACTTAGAAGTTGTGGTGTTGTCTTGGATGCAGTCAGGTTACAGTTATGTATTTTCATCTCCTGTACTTGGCGTTAACTTTGGTGTTCTAATGTGTTTCAAGCTAAAAAGCAAGCACTCAATTTCCAAGGATCCCTTTGCATAAATTGGCATTTGATAGCTTGATAATCATACTAGTATGCAATCCAATAAGAGAGTGTCTATTACAGAAATTAGCAAACACATCATTCAATATTGTAACTGCTGATCACGTAAAATGCTGACAACAATTTTTCAGCACAATAGGGAGCTGAACTTTTGTGACAGATTTTACAATCAGCAAAAGGTTCAATTTTTACACTATACACTGTATTAAATATACAATGAGGAGCAGAGAGCAACGTTTAATCTGTAGGACAACCACCAAGTCTTCTTCTAGATTCCAGAAGCATTACATTCTTCCAGCAGCTTGAGTAGATTATGTTCAGGGGCACTGACAGATGGTAGAATCAAGCGATTTGATGAGCGCATGGGAGGCGGTCGAGGAGAGCCTGCAGATTCGGGTTCAGGAGTGTCACCACCATCTTCTCTCATCACTGGCAAGTCGTTTCGCCTTCTCACGGTTGCAGATACCCTCTCTTTCCATATTCTCCCATCCTGAAGATCATTTATGTCAACTCATAGTTAGAGAATTTCAAAAGCTCTGAACTTGAAAAGAATCAATGGAAGGATACATAGTTGTACATCATATATAATGTTAGCATAGTCTTATATTAACGTCTTGGTGCAATATCTTCGTGGATGATATATCAAGCAACCAGTGAAGATTTCTCTACTGAACAATTCTGAAACGGACCCCTTTCAGTCTCCCTATCATAAAAGATTGCTTATGGGTCTGGTCTAGCATAGCTTTACTCAAAGGGAGTTATTTATACAGCTACTGATTCATTAACAACAGCAAGCAGAGCAGCTAAGATCCATTACAGGTTGATGTGATGCTCATTAGGGTCTCCAAAAAGCACAGCCAGAAAGGAGGGAAGCTTCACCAGTGAGCTAGCCCCATCAAGGTAGAACTTAGACACTAACACCAATGTCTTTTCCTATTTCTAACACCAAACAGAAAAGACACAAGAAAAGAATCTACAATCCATATTCATTCCCATGACATCAAGCAAAGCAAGAGCCTTTTCACCCTTTCTTGCAAATCGACAAACATGGTTCGAATGTAGTGGGGAAGCTACGAATGTCTCTTGCAATAGAATTTGGGGGAAAAGATACATAAAGAAGAACTTCAAGCTTACGTTAAGAATTGAAGGTTCAGGTACTGGACACTGAATAGGTTGATCATTGTCGAGAGGCTCAATTGGGTGTTCGACTGGCTTAAACTCAACCGTCACCTGAATCCCATGGGGAGCAACAGCTGAAGCCACAACCTCCGAGCCGGTCAGTTCCGTACTCGGGGGCAAAGCTTCTCTGTCATCCTGCTCCAGACACAACAAACCAAAAACATATTCATGAGCAATAACTCAACTGGTGTTCTTCAAGGAAAACATATTGCAAAGAAGAAGAACCAATCATTTCCACTTATGAAACAAAGAGGTGCTACCCTTAATTGAAACAAATTCACATTCCTGTGCTAATACCATGCAGAGCTTTAATAGATGATCTTAAAAGGAAAACGGAAACAAACAAAGGCTTCTCCTTTCAGCTTTGAATCACTGGCTTAGCTTCTTTCATTTCTCCATTCTGTCCCCCAGCTTAGGTGGGAATGCTTAACTCAAGTTATCCACAAATTCATTTGTTTAACAGTTGATCGTGCCGGACGAATGGTATCTAATGTCTGCTACCCAACTGCTCCAATATAGAGACAAGGGAGAAACGGGGGAAAGGAACAAGACAAAAAGAACATCAACAAATTGATTCAACCATCAATCATCATCGAAGCTCGTTGATTAATACTTAGCTCAGCCTAGAAAACACAAGACATATAAGGAAGTGGGAAGCAAAAAACCAATCAGAAACAGAAGTCAATCCAATCCATGGCAGCAGCAGAGCAAACGTTTCAGTCTCTAATTAGTCAACTGCTATTAAACAAAACCCCAGCTTGAATTCGATTGCTGCCCACAAAACGAAGGAGCCTAGCAATTACTACCCACTAACTAGAAAAAAAGCTAAACTTTGCAGCTGTTCAATTGAAACAAGAGCAGAAGAAGATTGGAGCAAAAGGGGTTGACTTACAAGGGCGCTTTGAGTTCGTCTATGAGAAGCTCTACCGACGGAAAGTCTGGAAAAAATCCCGACCATCGTCGGCGGGAAAAAGTTTATCAATTCCTCTGTTTTAGATTGATCTGCTGCTCTCCAAGAACAGATCCCTCCTCTCTCGGCTTCTTTCGGTATAGCAAAGAAACTGTTAATAGCAACAACAAACCAAACAAGAAAACGGAAACAGTCCCGATTCGTCTTTCTTGTTTTTCTCTCCCTGTATTTTTATTGTTGACTCTCCAGCTAGAAATTTCTTTTTATATTTGTCAGGTAAGCATAAGACTCTCCACCTAATATAATTAAGGAACTGAAGAGAGAGAGGGTCTTGTCAGTGTTTTTTTAAACAAAAGATAATCATATAGCCACCAAATGGGCTACCCTATTGGTATGCCGACCTACAAACCGAACAACAAACTCGGACTGGGGACTAAAATACTGCATAATCTCTTCAAGGACAACCCCAGTTTGATTGTCCCTAGCATCTGCCTGATTGATTTTATCAATGATCACCTTGGCATCACCTTCAAAGACGACGTGCGTAAATCCAAGATCCATGCACCATTGAACCGCTGCCCGGAGCACGAGTAATTCCACCACCATCGGGTCAACAATCACCGGGAATTGGACACCTTTAACCAGGAGGATCTCCCTCAGAGGAGTCAAAAGAACAATCCCCCCGCCGAGTGGGAGCCACACCTAGTTGCACCATCCCACATACAAAGTTACAAACAATCCTACCAACCCCTACCGGAGCCTGGTGCTGAGATCCCGAAGGGCCAACAACGTGTGGAAGGTCAGCAGGTGGAAAATTCATCCACTCCTCATACTGCTGATGAAACTGGCGCATCAATGCAGGAAAGCTAAACTGCTTATCCTCAAAGACAACCCAATTACGAGATCGCCAAATTCTCCAAAGAATAGCCACAACGGCCATGAACAGCGTTGGTTGATCTATCAAGGCCAGCAGTTTCTTAAGGAACAATGGAAAAGTGTGCCGAGGCAGCCCCTCCCCCAGGTACTCCAACCCCGAATAGTCCCAAAGTGCTCGTGCAACCAGGCAGTAGAGAAATAAATGCTCCATCGTCTCAGAATTAGCCTAGCACACCGGACACCGAGGATTGACTGAGACCTTCTTCTCTATCAGGGCCTCAGTAGTAGGCAGGGCCCGATTAAGAATCTGCCAGACAAAAACTTCCAATTTAGGAGGGATATTAGCATTCCATAACCGGATCCAGCTAGCCTTATCCATCCAACTTGCCAAGGACTTCCAACGACCCCTCCTTCTATCAAGAGAAACAGCCAGATGATATGCTGACTTGACGGTGAAGACCCCATCCCTCGTATCGTGCCAGATCATCCTATCCTCCACATTCCGGCGCAGGAGCGGAATTCTTTTAATGACACGACACGTACGGATCAAACCACTGTCTAAGTTTAGTATCACACCAACGCCCCTCCCCTTGACAAATTACCTTCGGGTCACCCCCCGCTGGTAAGATCTGCGGATTATAACTTATGGGGTCTAGCTGGAAATGAGGCACCCAGTTGGAATGAAGAAGGGAAGCAGTCCTTCCATTCCCAATTTGCCAGCGAAGACCCGCCTCCAGCAGCTGACGTCCATACAGGATACTTTGCCAACCCCAGAAGGGACGAGATCGTGGCAAAGCCTGAAGGAAGGACCCATTAGGAAAATATTTGCCTTTGTAGACCTAGGCCAGAAGGGAATGAGGTTTAGAGAGTATACGCCAACCAATTTTAGCTAAAAGAGCCTAGTTAAACTGCTCAAACCGGCGGAACCCCATTCCACCCTCATCTTTACTTCTGCACATATTACGCCAGGACAGCGTGGCCCTCGTCTGCACCCCACTAGAACCGGGCAACATGTTTGTCCAACAAGCGACACAATGATAAGGGTAGTCTGAAGCATGACATCACATGCAACGACAAAGCCAAAACAATTGACTTGATCAAAGTTTATTTAGCCGCCCAAGATAATGTCCTTTGCTTCCACCCTTGCAGTCGTTCTAACAATTTTTCCTCCAAGTAACGGAAGTCGCCATTTTTTATCAGGCAATTAGTGTCGGCAAACCCAGATATTTATCATGTAGCCCAACTGCCCCTACCCATAAAATTGTGGCAAAAAATTCTTGGTTAGGCAGAGCAATATTCTTACTAAAGCAAACTGCCGACTTTTCCAAATTGACACGTTGACCACTAAACTCCTCAGACTCTTTTAAGACTTCAATAAGGTTCTCGCACTCCTGAAGAGTTCCTCTCAGGAATAGATATGAATCATCCGCAAAGAACAAATGGTAGATCTTAGGGGTGCGAGGAGCCACCTTAACCCCATCCAGCTTCTTATCCGAAATGGCTTTACGAATGAGCGCTGCAAACCCCTCAGTGCAAAGCACAAATAAGAGAGGGGGAAACGGATCACCCTGTCGTAGTCCCCGGGATGGAGTAAAGTATCCTGGAGGAGTACCATTCATTAGTACCGAGAAAGATGATGATCTGAGGCACTCATGGATCCACCCTTGCCAGACAGAACAAAAACCCATCTTTTCCAACACTGCCAGAAGAAACGGCCATTCGACTCTATCATAGGCCCTTTCCATGTCAACCTTTAGAACCATGTACCCTTTCTTCCCACGTCTTTTAATTTTGAGATAATGCATTAGCTCATGCCCAAGGAGGATGTTATCAACTATCTGACGTTCCCGGATGAAGGCATTTTGACCCTCAGAGATGATTTGAGGTAGGAGATTAGAGAGCCGCTCAGCCATGATTTTGGTTATAATTTTATAAACAAATTGGCATAAGCTAATAGGGCGTAACTGCCGCATATACTCCACAATATCCACCTTGGGAATCAAAGTTAACCACGTATGGTTAAAACTGCGGAGCATTCTACTCGTTGCGAAGAACGGGCATACTGCCTCAATTACTGACTCCTCCACAATATCCCAGAAGGCTTTGAAAAATTTACCCATGAAACCGTCCGATCCAGGTGCCTGTTTCGATCCCATGGCAAAGACTGTTTTTTGCACTTCGTGGGGTAGGACTTCCTCCGTCAATTTCGCATTCATTTCTGGAGTGACGCTCCGGGAGATAGGCTCTTTCCGCCATATCCGGTACTTGATTTTCCGAGGTAAACAGAGCCTGATAGAAATTCGTAGCGATTGTGGCTTTTCCAATTTCCTCTGTTACCCATTCACCGTCCTCATTATGCAGGCCTGATACAAAATTCCGTTTACGACGAGCTCTCGTCACCGTATGGAAATAAGAGGAATTTTTATCGCCTTTTTGAAGCCATCGGACCCTAGATTTTTGTTGCCAATAAATCTCTTCAGCTTCCCACTAGCGAGAGAGCTCAGTCTCAAGACTACGAATCGAATCCCAATCAATTGGGTGGACTAATTTGATTCGATCAATCTCCCCCTAAAGAGTATTTATATTACGAAGGGAGTTCGTAGTCCCCGCCCTGCTCCAATCATAGAGAAGATGACGTAATTTCTTCAGGCGTTCCCAAAGTTGAAACATAGGGGTACCTGGAATACTCTCTTGCCACACATAGTTAACCATGGCTTTGACCTCTAGGTTATCAGCCCAGCGGGCGTCAAAGCAAAACAGTGGCCTGGAGTATCGACTATACGCCTTATCGGAGAGGAGAAGAGCTCGATGATCAGAGTCCTGATCCGTGAAATGTTTAACCAGCGTTTCGGGGAATTTGTCAATCCAGGACTGCGAGCAAAGAGCCATATCCAGTCTCTCACGAATGCACGCAGCACCCATACGTTTATTCGTCCAAGTGAATTGATCCCCCTGGTAACCAGGATCATGGAGGCCCAAATCTTGGACAAACTCACGCAGGCTAATAGACTTGAAAACATTCCAGGCATTCCCACCATCCTTTTCCCCCTCATGAAGGGTAGCATTGAAATCACCAATGACCACATAGGGAATCCGGATCGAATTGCAAATCTCTTGTAAGCGGGCCAGTTGGTTGGCTCTTATGGCCACATCACAGCTAATGTAGACCGAAACCACAACATAAGAAAAATTCGCTTCATTAATCTTAGTGCAAATACAAAAATTTAAATGGAAAAAACACCGAGGCATCAACCCCGGGGGACCAAGCTACTACTAACCCACCTGATGCATCAACAACATCAACAAAGAAACAATGAGAAAGTTGAAAACCTAAACCCCGCAAACGCCGGGACACTACTCTGTGGCTCGATCGTATTTCATAATAAAAAAAAACGAGATCCGGTTTATTGGAATGCACTAAACCAACATCAGTTTGAAATGTGAGGGATGGTCCAATTCCTCTCACATTCCAGGCAAGAAGCCTCATTTATCATATTGGGGCCACTCTAGGCTGGCTTCCTCCACCTTATCCACTTCCTCATTATCCTCCACAAACTGCTTCTTTGGAGTGGGAGGCTCAGCAGCATCCCCCTCAATATTATCCAAAGAGCGTTTAACACCGCAAGCTGTATTGACGCCCATGTTGGAACCATAAACATTAAGTCCACGATGACCGTCTTCATTCCCACCTATCTCCTACTGTTGGAGCTTCTCCGGGAATCGAGGCCGACGCACCCACTTTTCAGCAGGAGATGCCTTCATAACCAGACCATTTTCCTGATTATCACCATTCAAAATCCCCCCCCCCCCCATGCATACGTCGTTTGAGCTCAAAGGAGGGTATCTCCTCTTCTGAGAGAGTCTCATCTGAGTCCATTGGCTCGAGTTGGGAGTTGTCCACAGCCAGCCCCTTTGGATCATTAACGATCAGCGGGGAATCACCCAACACAGCTTCCTTCTCAACATCTCTTCCCTCCTCCCCAAACTCACAGCCAAACCGCCACCCTTCATCAGCTTGTGACCTCTATGGGTAGTAGCACCCGAACCAGCCTTGGTCACCTGATTCTTTTTGTTCCGCAAAGGTGCCCGCAGGTCAGCCTCTCGAACTTCCCCCTTCCCCACCACCTTTGCTTCTCGAACTTCACCCTTCCTCGCCACCTTTGGATGCCTGCCATTTCTCTTTTTAGCTCGAGAGCCTTGTTTAGGCGGGGGTTGGTAGGCTTTCATATTCGTACTGAAAGTGTACCTAGAAACATCATGTATCATCGTTGGCCGCCATGATCTAGGAACAAAGCGTTTTTGTGAAGTCGACTAGGGCCTTCACTTTCACAAACCATGTGCCCGTTTCTTGGCAGGCAAACACTCCGGATTCCAGAACTTTTCCAATAGTGGTATTCACCATTTTCCTACCAAACTGCTGTGTACAACAGTCTTCCTTGATGTCCCATAGCTGGATCCGGAAAGGAACATCAACAAGATCATCATAAATTTGCTTTGTGATGACCGGAGTCCAAGGACGGAGATGGAGGATCGTATCATTGATCACTCATGTCAGTGGTCAGGGCAACGACGACGAAATTATTCCGTAATATTACAAATTAGATATGACGTTTGGTAATAAGAGGTTTGGGGTAGTTTGTTGCTTGGATTTTTATCATGGATTTGGTCCCAAATATCAAGCCGTTTATTTGTTTTTTATTTAAAAAAAAAAAGAGAGTTTTGTTAAATTTCGAGTTTAGGAAAATTCTAAATTTATGATGAATTTGTTGACATTATAGATTTTAATGAGTCTATTGATTGCTTATTGGATTTCTATTATGGATTGACTTGATTAGATCATGGTTCGAATTTCACTTCTTGACATGAGATAAGCAAGTTCGTGGCATACAAATTGGGCCCTTAATGTCCATGGACCCACAAATTTTGATCCCTCAACAAACATGAAGCCAATAATGACTTTTGAGAAATTTCATGATGGATTGGATTTGAGACCTAAATCCATCATTTAAATTCATAAAGCAAACGGCCTACTAATCATCAAAGATTTGATGAAAATTCTTTGTTTGCATGATCAAAATATTGGAAGACAAATCAAATTTATAAGGAGTTGTTTGCTTCAAAGATTTGGTGATGAATTTGAGTCTAATCCAAATCCATTATGGACTTTGCACAAAGTCAGTCTCTGATTGGCTAGTGGCTAAAAGATAAAGGTGCATCCCTTCCCCCGCTTTCAAAAATGATGAATATGAAGTCTTGAAGGCTGTTGATACTAAGCAGTAGTACTGCTCGTGGTTACTCAATTTTGAGTAACCATGGTAGCTACCAAAATTTACCTCTTTCATTACTTTTATTACATCATATTTTTAAATTAACGATTGAGATTAGATTAAGAATGATTTTGAAAACAAGAAAGATACCACACCTAATTATTATCTTTTAAAATTGAATTTGTATATATTATAACCAAACCCTACTATCACCCTCTCTCATCCGCCTCACTTCCTCCCACTTTATATCCAACAACAGCTCCCACCGCCATTCGTCCCTCCCACGACCGCTCATCGCCGCCTGCCTCCCCTCACTCCCCGCCCTTCCCCTCCCCTCCTCCCCCCTCCCTCTCTCTCTCCCCCTCTCTCCCTCTCTCAAGGAGATCGATGAAGAACATCTCGACCAGATTTCATATCATGATTTTTCATATTGGTATGTATTTTTTATAATGATGTTGATTTTTTATATTGGATATGAGTTCTCTCGGCTGGCTTGGCTCTTAGCCAAAAAGCCACCAAAATCCACTTAAATGAGTCATTCTTTGAGCTACTGAGCTCCAACCCTAGGACCTCAACTTGGGCGACGTGGCACTCCATCCCTTCGTGTGAGTATATACTCACAAAAAGGGTTGTGATCATATTAAATTTTTCCTAATTAAGGAACTGAAGAAAGGGGGAGAGATGGAGAAAGAGGGTCTCTATCAGTCGTCAACAAGGTTGTTAACTCGTTTCACTAGGGATGGCAATGGGTCGGGTCGGGGGCGGATAGTTCATATCCGTTACCCTACCCAAAGTAGTCCGGGTTTTACCCATACCCATACCCACATAAGAAACGGGTAGAAAATCGAAAACATGCCCATACCCGTTTGGGTTTCGGGTATCCACGGTTATCCATGGGTAATAGTTTCTCTTTATAACTTCAACCAATATGTTAATATTCATATGTATTCTCACATTACGTAAGACAAAAAGGATGACAATAATACACTAGGATGAAGAAAATTCATTAAAACAACACAATTTCATGAAAACATTATATTTATATGCTAAATATAAAATATATTAGAAAAAAATAATGATTGTTTCTAGACAAAATACATATGCATGTGTATATCGGGCGGGTTCGGGTTGGATAGTGAGAAAATCATGCCCACCCATTACCCGCAATATTCGGGTTCGGGTTTTACCCGTACCCGCTAAAAATCATTCGGGTTCGGCTTTTACCCACCCGACAAGGTCGGATTCGGGCGGATATCCACGGTTACGGATATTTTTGCCATCCCTACGTTTCACCTGTTGGTCTATTAAAGCAAGTAGGTTTAGGATTAATAATCCGATCATTTTAGCTCAATTTAGTCCAAATATATAAAAGAAATCATTATCTTGTTCATATATTTATATATTATATTAAACCACATCTAACATATGGATAATAACATATAACATTACACTAAAATAACAGTTCGTACTTGGATCCAACATATAGTGAAAATTCAAACTCACTCATATATAACATCAATATTGAAATGTTCAACTTAGAAGTCTAAAGATAGATTTAGGCAAAGGAGAAAATCATAAAAGAGGCATATTTCACAGAAGATCGAGTTTCAGCACATGGACAACTTAGACTCTCCAAACCCAAGCCTCATGTCACTCCATTGACCGTTTTGATAGAGACTTCAGCACATGGCGGCCACCACCCACCAAACTGGAAATCAAGTTTCTAGAGAATGTCATCCCGAGAAGAAGATCAGAAGAAGATAAGCAAACAAGAGTCATAAAATTATCTGAAACCTTACCTCCTTGTGTCTTACCTCTAAGAACCTAACCATGAGAAGAACTTCATAACAATGGGCACCCGACGATGAAAACATGGATTTAGTTTGTGCATTCTAATCTTTCATCCGCATCTGAGCCGATTTATCGAGGAGAGCTACTGCATCCGAATCACCGAGATATGTTGGGTGAACCGAGGAGATAGAAGACAGGCGAGAAGACGAGAAGGGATGTTGATTATTTTACCTAAATCAACCACACTTTGCCAACACAAACGAAAGGCTTTATAAATATGATGAATCAGAGTAGAGCATCAAAGAAAATCATACCAAACAAGAGGCGGAAGGTAGAACTCCAAAGTGGATTTGGGAGCATAGATGGACAACAGAAAAAAGGAGTACAAAAGAGAAAAGGGGAGGGTTGCCAATGACAACAACTTAAGGAAGATTAGAAAAGGGGAGGGTTGCTCGTTCAATGATTATTACAATGAATTATTATTTAAGCATTATTGTCTAAATAATTAGTTTTATTAAATTATATTTGTCAATATTTATGATTATTATATATAATAGTTTGTATTTTCAGATTACTATAAAAAATGCTCAGATTTAGGTCCAGATCAGTTGGCCATTTGAGAATGAGAGATTCGATGATTTACATTTTGGTCAAAATATGTCGCATCTAAAATTCGTGACAAAAATAAAATAAACAATGTGGTTGGAAATTACCATGGCGCCCCTATTAATTGGTGGAGGAGATGATGTTTTGGAAGAGTGAAGAAGATAAATGGGGAATTTCGAAATAGTTTAGGCTCGAGTATTTCAAAACTCCAAAATCAATTATTTTTACGGTGTATAATCTCAAAATATCTCCCCTTTTCAAATGCGTTTTTGTGCCAAAATCCCATAGTGGGAAGGATTATGCCAATAAATTTGGACTTTTTCCAGAAATACCATTGTTTAAAAAAACAATTTCAAAAATACCACCAAACCCCAAAAAATTCCAAAAATACCACTCTTTTTCAAAAACCGCCACTCCACCCTGCGGTTTACACGAAAACTGCTGGACGGGGGCGCGGTTTTCAATGCAAACCGCGGGGCTAAGGGGTGGTTATAAAAAAAAATGGACCAAACCGCTGGTTGGGGTGGCGGTTTGGCCCAAAAACCCCCACCCAGCGGTTTGGTCCACATTTTTTTTCCGATCAACTCCTAACTTCGGTCGAAACTTCAAATGAATATAACTTTGCACTCAGGTATCCGATCGTAGCGATTTTTTTTTCATGTCGCATAAATTTTCAAGCTCTACAACTTTTACTTGGATGAAATTTTCAAAACAGGAATTAGTTGTGGATATACGAGACCTTAAGAATAACTTTACCTTTACTTTTCACAAATCCATGTACATTTTGAAATTATGATTTTCTTAAAAGTTGTACATCTTGAAAAGTTATGCGGAATCAAAAAAAATTTCATGACGTTCGGATTTTGGAGCACAAAGTTATGGCCGCCCAAAGTTTGACGAAAGGCGAGACCCGGCGGTTTGCGGCTTGCAAGATCTCAAAAAGTTTGCAGCCTCCATTTTTTGAATCCGAATAACTTTTTGAGATCTTGCAAGCCGCAAACCAACGGGTCCCGCCTTCGTCTCGAAAAAACATCATTTGCCACCCCGAACGAGCCTTTTTTTTATTTCGTCCAACTTTGGGCGGCCATAACTTTGTGCTCCAAAATCCGAACGTCATGAATTTTTTTTTATTCCGTATAATTTTTCAAGATCTACAACTTTTAACATAATCATAATTTCAAAATGTACATGGATTTGTGAAAAGTAAAGGTAAAGTTGTTCCCAAGGTCCCGTATATCCACAAATAATTCCTGTTTTGAAAATTTCATCCTAGTAAAAGTTGTAGATCTTGAAAAGTTATGCGAAACAAAAAAAAATTGCTACGATCGGATACCCGAGTGCAAAGTTACGTTCGTTAGAAGTTTCGGCCGAAGTTAGGAGTTGATCGAAAAAAAAAAAGAAAAAAAATTGGACCAAACCGCTGGGTGGGGTGGCGGTTTTGGGCCGAACCGCCACCCCACCCAGCGGTTTGGTCCAATTTTTTTTTTTATAACCACCCCTTAGCCCCGCGGTTTGCATTGAAAACCGCGCCCCCGCCCAGCAGTTTTCGTGTAAATCGCTAGGGATGGCAATGGGTCGGGTCGGGGACGGATAGTGCATATCCGTTACCTACCCAAAGTAGTTCGGATTTTACCATACCCATACCCACATGTGAAACGGGCAGAAAATTAAAGCCATGCCCATACTCGTTTGGGTTTCGGGTATCCGCGGTTATCCATGGGTAATGATTTTTCTTCATAACTATAACCAATATGTTAACATTCACACGTATTCTCACATTACGTAAGAAGAAAAGTACGATAATTCACTAAATGAAGAAAATTAATTAAAACAACACAATTTCATGAAAATATTATATTTATATGCTAAATATAAAATATGTTAGAGAAAAAAATGATTATTTCTAGACAGAGTACATATGCATGTGTATAATCGGGCGGGTTCGGGTTGGATATTGAGAAACCCATGCCCACCCATTACCCGCAATATTCGGATTCGGATTTTACCCATACCCACTAAATGTCCTTTGGGTTTGGATTTTACCCTACCCGATTAGGCCGGATTCGGGTGGATATCCACGGTTACGGACTGGAGGGCTTTCTGGAGACCGTTTTGAAGCTCGAGCCGGGTCGAACCGGGTCTAACCGAAGGTTCGATAGGGGTTTAACAACCTTGCTCGACAACAACATGAAACAGAGTACTATGTAACACATCTAAATAGCGCAATACAAGCAGCGTGAAACAGAGTAGAAACATAATGAGTCAATAACAACAACGAAACATCAGGTGACGGGATACCATATCTCTCTTCAACGATCCAAACCAGGTTAATGGACTCTCTGATGCAGGCACTGATGAACTGGAAGCAAGCTACGGCGGCGGTTATGTATCTACGACGTCGCCTTGGATTCTATCCAGATCAATCATTATAACCAGAGATTAAGCTATAAGCATTTTGTCAAATCTCAGTTAGCATTTTAGCACACACGTGGGGCGGGGAAGCATCCATGATCAACGTGGAGGAGGCCATAAAAACTAAAGTAGCTTTTGTTATCATTATTAGGTGAAACTTTTCCGGTGAGAAGTATGATTATTATGTTCATAAAGTGTGTCACTCGTCATGTGAATGTCTCATGATGAGTTGCGTTAATGATTCCGAGATTTTGTGTTCATACTTCATAGCCATTTGTACCCCCACTAACTTGTTTTTCAAATGTTAAGTACCATAATTTAGTGCGCTAATTACGATCATGTAATGTTACCAAGGTTAAACATCATTACCCATTCATCAACTTTAGTCATATAACTTTGTGTTAGCATTGTAACAGTATATTGGTTCAAAGTATAAAAGAAAAAACAAATGAATTACATGTTCCCTTCCTTTCGGCCACTTTCAAACCTCTATGCCCAAAATCAAAAGTATCCTAAGCTGGACTGTCAAAGAAGAAAAGCTTCGTGTAGTCCCATTCACAAAAGCTCTACTGTAAAAGCAGCAATCATCGTTACGGCAATTGGAAAGACCCACCGATTTGATTCTGCCCAGCAGGCGGGTTTATCGCAACCCACAACAAGGAAATGCAAATAGAAATCAGTCCAGACCACACAAACACGATCGTCGGAGTTTTCCCACGCCGTCCCATCAACCCTTTCGCAAACGGGTACATATGAACCAACACCCAGAAGCTGAAAAACGCGCCACCGATCAGATTGTTCCACTGGGGAATCGCACTGTAGATCGTCCTTGAGAATCCCACCGCAATCGCCACGATGTTCACTATGATGATCACGCAGGGAGGGATCATCAACGACGTCCACTTGATCAGGTACAGCTCGGCATACTCGTCGTCCTCATCAGCTGCAGATTTGGAAGTCAGTGTAAAAGAGATCTCAATTCCAGCAACCACTTTCAAAAGCCCCTGTAGAACAGCAGCGAGATGGGCGCTGGTCCCACCAATCAACCAGAACTGCTCGTTCCTCCACCATTCCTCCAACGCGATCCCCGACCATTTGATTTCCAGAACCGCCAACATGGTCAATGTGATGGTGATGACTAGGAGGTAGCTGAGGAAGTTGACGTCGAGCGAATTGACGATGAACTTGTTGGCGAAGAGGGAGAGTGCTGGAAGGAAGCAGTAGACGATCAAGAAGATGGACGTGAAAGGGTAGATCCCGACGTTGAGGTAGGCGATCCGCTGGAGGAATTTGAGGCGACGCCCGGCCAGCAAGGCGTTGTTGCGGGAGAAGAAGATCTCCACCGATCCCGTCGCCCATCGAAGCACCTGGTGGAGACGGTCCGTGAGGTTGATCGGAGCTGTGCCGCGGAAAGCGTCGCGTTTCGTCACGCAATAAACAGATCTCCACCCTCTCTCGTGCATACGGAATCCGGTGACCACATCCTCTGTCACGGAGCCGTAGATCCAGCCAACATTGACTCCCCACTCTGTTTTGTCCTCGTACCAGCAAGAGATCACATTGACGGCCTCGGCGATTGTCCCCGGCGTGAGTGGCGGACGTGGAGCTAGGAGTGCGCCTGTAAATAAAATCAAAAGTACAATTTAGTGAAAATGTCAAGTGAAACTCCCATAGGAATCTACGTGATATTTTTTTAGAATGTGACTAAACTGACCTGGAGGACGTCCGTTTTTAATTGATGGATGATCTGCAAGAGGTAGGCCTTGATAGGCGGCGACTCGAATCGAATCGACGAGCATGCTCGAATTCCCAAACTTCTTTGGGATTAGAGCGATGTTCATCGATTCATCGTCCATGTCCTCCATACCATAAGAAGACTGGCTGGATTGATCAGGAGCAGAGTCGAAAGTAGGTGCAGCATTGGCGGAGGCAGACTTCTTACTACTCTTCTTCCCGTACTTTTCCGCCTCCGGCGGGTCAAACCCGTAGAGGGCGGTCCGTCGGAACATACAACCTGTGCCGACATACACAGGGCCCTGGATTCCATCAAGAGCCCGCATGTTGACGTCGAAGAAGACCGTGTTCTGGTTCGCGTATCGATCCGATGGGTCGATCCCTTCGAATCGTTGAGGGAACTGAACATAAGACAAGCGGTCACCACCGGCATCCATCATGAAGCACATCCCTTCACGAATTGCTTCGGAATTGTAGATGTAGTGGTCGCAATCGAGGTTGAGGATGAAGGGACCGTTAGACATGATCGCCGAAGCTCGAACCAAAACGTTCATCGCCCCCGCCTTTTTGTTGTGGTCGTAGCCAGGGCGCTTCTCGCGGGAGACGTAGACCAGCATTGGCAGCCGCATGTCCACGTCAGATAGGTCCATTGAGTTGCCGTCGGAGCCCGGTCCTTTCATTAGCTCGTTGCTCGGCGGCTGCAGCATTACCTGTAAAAAAAAATTGTTTCAAAATAAGAGATCGAACAGTGTTGAACAAGTAATCAAATGGGTTTAAACCTTTTTAAGTTTAGAATGGTTTGACATTTTACCTGAATAATGCTGGCATGGTCGCCGCGAGTGTGCTCCGGCCCCGGCGTGGTCCAAGTCCCGGTCCAATGAGTACCATCTGCCATCCAAGTCGCTTTGGTGACCTTAATCCTCTCAAAATTCTCGTCATCTCCCATCTCCTTAACCTTCTTCATCGCCTTGATCTCCTCGTGCGTATTATACGCATCCGAACGCCGTCGAATCGACTCCGGCAAACCATTAATGCACACCTTAAACTCATCGTACTCCCTCTTAACCCTCCGTCGATCCCGGACGAAATCAGCCCGGACCTTATTCTTATACGGGTCCGTTTTCAGATTGAAATAAGACTCCGGATTTCTCGGCTCGATGTTGTGCTTGCGGCAGAAGGGGACCCAAAGCCGGGCGAAGCTGGCAGCCTCCGCCATGGCCTCGAAAGTGAGGAGAGCTCCGCCGTCGTCGGAGACGTAGCAAGAGAGCTTCTCGACGGGGTAGTCGGCGGCGAGGATGGAGAGGATCGTGTTGGCGGTGGTGAGCGGGGGTTCTTTCTCCGGGTCGGCTGTGGAGACGAAGATGTCGACCCCGGGGAGATCGGATTTGCCGGCGGGATTGGTGGGGGATGGAGTCTCGAATTTTTCCTTGAGGACTTCAAGGTCCACCACGCGTTTGACTGGGCAGAGCTTGGGGAGCTGGTCGAGTAGCCATGAGAAGGAGAACCAGAGCTCGCATACTACTGACATCCCCCATAGCCAGATTGCATCCTCGTTTGGGTTTGTTACCCGCCATTCTATGAACATTGCAAGTGCTACCATCCGGATGACTATAAGCAACCTGCAGGAAGTGGAAAGTAATGTTCATTCAGAAATCAGCGTCGTTAGTTGGAGAAATTGAAATTTCTGTTACTGGAGAAGATTTGGTTGTGATTATATGGTATTTGATTTGATGCCAGGTGAATGTTTGTGTTCATTATTACGAACTATATGAATGCATGACTAGTCTTTACATCGTGGATCTATTTGTTTCTACCTCAAAACCTGTAAATAAATAAATAAATAAAAATCGCGGCTTATTTTACACAAAAAAAAAAAAAATGTTAGGTGGTTGTTAATTAGATGTTGGCAATTTCTATTGTGAACTACGAAAGTGATTCATTATTTATTCTGACTCGACTTGTCTCAAGTAGTAATCATCATTTATTATGATTCAATTGCTGTGACTTTGGACTCATTATCATGTAACACGTTTTGATTTGAAATTATCATTACTTAATAAACTTGTCCCATTCACAAAAATTCAGAGGTTTTACGAGTTCGCTAGTATGATTCACATACTATATTGATCTAATCAATTAACACAATTGTGATACAACTAATTATGATTCATTACCCGTCCTTTATTATGATCTAACCAGTATCTTACTGAAACTATTCATAATTTTCTAGTTAACATTGTAGTCGCTTATCCAATTCCAACCCCCTCGCAACTTGTTTGGATATGCAACGAAACTTATGAATTCATTTCCATTTTCAATTCCATCTTTTGTGTTTTGAAATGGAAAATTGTATCCAATTTTATTTGAGCTAAATTATATTATTTAAAAATCCTACAAAAATATGTATGCATTGGGTTTACGAAAATGGAATTAATGGATTCTATCAAACCCTTATTATTATCTTATCATTTCACCTATTTCCTCTCTCATTCATATTTTTTCCTAAGACAAATTAGAATTACTAATTATAAATTTATAGATAAAAAAATACATGTTATTTTCATAGTTCTGAAAAATATATCAAATGTAAGAATTGAAAATGAAATTTCTATAAAAGAATGTAGAATTATAAATAGAATCTGAAAGTTTATCCTAGCAAATGATGATAATGATAGAAAAAAAAGACTTTTCATTGATTATTGAAACTGATTATTCATTATTAAAAAAAAAAACTGATCATTCTTTTGTCGAACTTGATGGGCCTCAACATATGGGGAAAATATTAAAAGGTTCAATGAAAAGGAAAACCATAAACATAAAGGATAGGGATGGGAGTGTGCCATAATAATGGGCTAATGGCTATAATTACGCTGAAGTCTGAACTGCCCATAGAAAATTTGACCTACTTAGTCCCGCAAATCAGGGTACATGGGATTCTTACTTATTAGTTATAAGATTATTAATTTTCACTTTCTAGTAAAATACCAAATCACTTGAAGATTTACCATTTTCAGTTTTCACAGTCCAATTCAAGGTTTGACTTCCTTAAACAGTTGAGAAGAAAGAAAGGAGAAAAAAGAAAACAGAGGAAGGAAGAAAAAACAGAGGAGGAAGAGCATTACCGGTATGGACCCAGAATCGTGGCCGGAATACTGACTGTACGGGTGAGAGGCTTCCGCTGCTTATCCACAAGCAAATTCGGATCCCCTCCGCCGCCGCCACCGCCGTCCTCATTATTGCCATCACTCGACCACGCAGCATTCCCGTACCCATAATCCTTCTTCGAATCCTCGAACAAGAAATCCGAATCCGTCGAATCGAACATCCGCGGGTTCTTCATCGTCGTCAGCGTCCGATCCAACTGAGCCGACCCGTAATCCCCGCCGCCCCGGTAACTGCTCTTGCAGCCGGGGCAAACCCCTTCCGCATCCTTGAAGCAGTCGCTGCAGATCCTGAACTCGCAATCGCACGGGTAGACCGAGTCCCCGCGATCGTCCGTCATCGCGGTTGCGTCGCACCCGGGGACCTGGCACCGATTTTCGCCTCCGCCGCCGCCGGAGACGACGACGGAGGAGGGGAGGTGGTTCATGGTGGTCATGGCGCCGGAATTCTGCCGGCGGTACATGGAATTGGACATGTAAGTCGAAGGGTTCCGGTTGATCGGGATGAAAGGAGGGGAAGATTGGGCCGAGTCCATCGAAATTTCCATCGGCTGATTGTCGGGAGTGGGAGGGATGTGGACCGTGTAGGTCGCGAACTCGAGGCTGCTGCCGATGTCGCTGTCGAAGTCGCGGGAGTTGCTGAACTGGATTCCCGGCGGGGAAGCGGTGGGAGGGCCGCGCCGAGTGTGGTAGTTGTTGTTGTTGTTCGCCATTGTTAACCTCAATTGAGGAAGTTTGGAGGGGGAAGATGGAGAGGAATAGGGGAAAATGGAGGAGGAGGGAGATTATAAGGGAGGACCGAGTTGAGATGGAAGGGGGTAAATCCAAAGAAGGAAGGACTGAGTCCTGAAAAATCCGGCGATTACTTTATAATAATAAATAATTATTTTAATTAATAAATCTCTTTGGAGGTGTGGAAGAGATTTAGCGGGCTCAGTCCGTCCGTCCGTCCGTCCGCCCGCCGGAAGGAGCTTTTGGGTATTTTGTCGTTTTGTAATTTGGGTTTAGGGTTGGAGAGATGTGGAAGGGAAAGGTGTTGCCGGCGGGACATATGGGGGAAGAAGAAGAAGGGAGAACGGAAGGGACAGCGGAGAGGTTTGGATTTTGGGATTTGAGTTCGGCGCCCGCGGTTGGTTGGTTAGTGTGGAGTTAACGAGGGAGGAAGAGGACACGCTTACCCTACGCACGCGCTGGGCCCACGGGCTTAGGAGGATTTTCGATGAGTTTGTACGCGGCAATTTGAGGCTTTTGTTTCTCGGGTTTGTGTGCTACCGGAGAATAATGTTTTTTTTTTTCCCTGCCATTTTTCCATCCGAAATCGGCAAGTATAGAGGCGTTTCTAGTAGGAGTGGCAATGACCGGTTTTTGGTGGGTAACTCGGTATTGTTTCATAGTAACATTTTGGGTTTAAGTCGGATAATTTGAAAACGGGAAGTGTAAAGGTGTTTTCGATAGGAAAGACAATGGATAGGTTGGGGTGGGTATTTTGATAATCATATTTGTCTCGTGGAAATCGGATTCAGGTTGAATAATTTATCTTGGAGTGTGTCGAGAAGGTCAATCCATATGAGTCTGCAATTTAAACATAAAATATTAATTTTTCATTTAATAAAAAATTAAGAAACAAACTATAACATGATGAATGTAGTTAAATTATTTGAAAATTGAGATTCTCGAGTATGTATAACTTTGTTATAGTTAAAATATGAGCTATTAAAGGCAAAATGCTAAGTAATTTGGGAAAAATTAAATGTGATATAAGTAAGAACAAGTTAGAAATGAGACGGATCAGGGCAACGATACTATTCATGCTCGCCCCACCAAACCTACGAGGCGGGTAATACCCACCACGAAACAGGTCATACAGTTTGAATAAAACGAGTCAGGTCGACATTCCTAGTTCTCAATTAGTATTGGGCAAATTCCTACCTAATCAAAATACAGCTAGTAAATCACAGAGTTATTTGGATATTTGAAAGATACGGTCTCTTGAGAAGGTGAGTGATTTAGCAAAGTTATGTTATTTGTTGGACGAACAATGATGACCAATCAATCTCTATGGGAATATTTGCGAACATTTAACTTTACTGAATTACTCATCCTCTACCAATTTTGAGGCTACCAGCCAACTCTGTATTGTTGATTAACCCTCTTTTCGTGTTCACTATATAAGCTATGGCGAAGTGTTCATTGTCCCTCTCTCAAAATGTCACCAAGTGCCATGAGAGAAAAGAGAATGTGTCACGTAAACAGTATGGAAGAGAACGATTGAAGGCGTGATTAGATCACTCTTCTTAGAGTGTTTATTTGCCCCCCACTATTTCGTTGCTGGTAGGATTTAGGCAAACCACCCGCAAAAGTCCCTCCAATCAAAGTCAGAAAGCAGCACCTTTCGTGACTACTGTGATTGTGTTTTTGGAGAAGGAAAACGAGGAGAAGAAGATGAACGTTGGAACAGAAATTCGGCTGCAGAAGACTTTTATAGTGAAAACGACAGTTCCCTTCCGAAGGGTTACGTCGTTTCACAAACTTCAAAATCAAATAATTATCCGGATTAATTAATTAAAAATAATTCCGGTAATTAATTAGCCAAAAATTCAAATCCTAAGTGCGTAGTGCGATTTAATATGTCAAATTAAATAGCCCACACTTTTTCCAAAAGCCCACTAACCACTTTATCCAATAACTAAAGTGGAAAGCAAACTTAAAAACAACTTGCACTTTCCTTCTCCCACCAATGTGGTATTTCCTTTACTCTTTGACTACTCTAACAGAATATACAATTCAACATTATGTAGGAATGGCAATAGGTCAATGCGAGACCCACAATAGTAGTGTAAGGTTTTAAATACCTCTCACTCAATGTTGTCAAACTGGATTAAATCATCAACACAATTTAACAAGTGATTTGAGATTTAATGGTTGGATCTAGTGCAACCAGTTTAAATCGGTTTTAATATAATATATGTGAAAATTTCTAATATCAAAATTATGCATATATTGGACATATTTTAAAACAATCTCTCTACATTCATATATTACTAAATTATATCTTCAAATAAGTATATATTATCAAATTATCAACCCTCATCTTCAAATTCTGTTCTGATTGGTTTAACCCGATTTTGACTTTTCTCTAAAATCGTCCAACCAACATATATTTAAATCATTCAGATAACCAGTTCCGTTTGGACCAGGTTAACCCGGCCTGCCAAATACGGGTTTGACAACCTTGCTCTCTCTTGAGCATATGAAATTGCATGGTTTTAATATAATGAAAATTTGTAATTGCAATTTCAATGTGGCAACCAATGATACCCCATTGTTTTGATGTAATTTGTATATATACTTGGTCATGCTCCCACCATTTATGAGGTTGGATTCTTGTTCCTTCTCGGCCTAGACACTCTAGAATATTTTGCTAGCTAACACCAACCACATTAGAATACAATGTTGCATCTCACATCCATAAACTCAACCATCCATTTTCTGTTTGTTTGATAGTTATTGGAGAATGTCATGCCACTTCTCAACATCTGGATGTATGTGTTGAATTGAGCAAATATATTTGCTTTCTTTTACTTGGTCAGAACTCAGACCTAGCTAGCTATAGTCTCATTTTGATCCAATCAAACACTAATATATATATATATATATATATAATTAGTTAATGGCACTGATCTTCTAATTATCATATGTTATTGTTCAATATATGACAATAATAGTAACAACAATAATCAAAACCGTTTTTAGTTGTTGATTCTACCCACGGTAAAAAATTATCATTTACTCTCACAGTAATAGATAATAATCTAACTATTTTAATTTAAACTCTGAATAATTATATAATATTGAAATTATGAACAATTATTCCGAAGTTTGTCAAGAAGATAATTAGCGTTGTCCAAGAGGATTAATTAACTTAGACAATGTGTATCTCAATATTCCATTTGTTGGAAGATTGCAATTACTAGCTTGGAGTTTGTTTCCCGTATCCCACTAGTTGCTTCAAGACTTGTACTACTTCTACTTGTTTGTTGGTGACGTGCACAAAATAGAAAAATCAAATGTAGGTGGGTATACGTCAATTTTAAACCATTGTTGTCCTGTTAATTCAACAGCTAGCTAAACACTTGCTGAGATGGCATAACTCTAAGAACTAGTTACTAATTCACATTTGCTTGTTCTAGAATGATCAGAACTAAGCATATGCATGTGTGTTACTTCATTCTACGTGTTGACCATGTACATACATTGTATTACATTAAGTAGGAGACGAACTTTTGTTGATCCTTTTGATTTGAACTAAATAATTTCAAACGATAAATCTGTTATGAATCGTTTGATTTTAATAACTCGAGTTATTGGATCGTTCGGTTTATAACATAGTATTAGTGTTGGATTTTCCTTAATAGTGGCGTAGTCAGGAATTCATCTAGGATAAGTCCATTTTAAGAAAAATATACGTGAAAATTTGTTTTTGTTAACCTTTTTAATCATTTTCGATTCAATATTATATTTGAATTTTTTTTATAAATTAAAATACAATGGTTCGAAACTATGAAAAATTTTACTTTATAAGTACAAAAAATTATTCACGACTTAGTTAGTCGTTTGCTTTCGAATGACGCGCTTTGTCAAGAATTGGTTATTATCAATAACCAGAGTTGTAGGGTTAGATGAAATGATTGTTCTTATACAATTTACGAACACACTTCTTCAAATAAAACACACTTATATGACTTAAAGTTTGCACACATCCGATTATCATGTGCTTAACAAATGAGCTCGCCAAAGGTTCAAATACAAGACCTCTCGGTTATCGATCCTTAATTAGTTGAATCCTATTTTATTTTTCAATTAATTGTTATATCTGTTGGGCCCATAGTTAAGCGGTATTGGGCCTAAGAGGCCCACGAGAAGATGGCAGAACAGGGCCCAAAGAGGGGTCCGAGTCACAGTGAGGGACTCGAGAAAGGGCATGGGGAAAGGAGATACCGTAGGCGGCCACCCTATGATGCGACGGGGAATAGGCCGCCCGACACAGGAGACCGTTGGTGTCAGGAAAAGTAGATCTTCCTAGGATACTTACCTCGTATATAGCAGGACTGAGCATTTAATGCCCGCCGCAGGCGGTCCAGATAAAGCTGAGCCTATCTAGGCCACATGACAAGGCATTTAATGCCTCATACCCAAGCTGGTTGACTATAAATACACTGGTATCGGCATTAATGGTAACTCAACTACTCTCTCTCTCTCTAAACCTAAACGACACTTCTTATTATCTCTCTAACTTAAGCATTGGAGAGTGTCTGGGGTGACCGCCCACAGACCCTTGTTTTGCAGGAGTTTGGAGTACACCCGCCATCTGGAACAGACGCCTTGTTCATTCTGCATAAACCGCCTGGAACAATCCAGGCTTAAACAATTTGGCGCCCACCGTGGGGCCAGCATAGCACTGAAGAAAGGATGGATGGGAGCTCCAACACCCCTGTCAAAGGCGTAGTCGGGGGAGAAGGCTTCCGCGGCCAGGAGGTCGCAATGAGTGGCATCCGTGGAATAGAAATGCCCGTGGTGGAGGAAGAGATGGAAATGGAAGACCGCGTCAAAAGTCAAGGACAGCAAATATCAAGCATGCAAGAGAGTTTGAGCCAAATCTTGGCCATGCTCAAGGAGAAGGAAGGCGAGGCCCCAGAAAGCTCAGGGAAGCGAGCAGCCAAAGGAAAAGGAAGAGAAAAGGACCCCGACAGCCCTGCTCAGACAGAAGGCGGGGAGTCTGATAAAGAAGAAGGAACGGAAGATGTCAGCCTGGGGTTCTTGGAGGAACATCTTAAACCCTCATATTGAGGTGCAAAGGCCCATAACATCCTCCAAAACCCTCTAGCCAAAAGTTTGTTCAGAACCCAAGTACCCCCCAAATTTCTCATCGCTCGGCCTACCGACTTACATCGGAAGCTCTGATCCCGCCGATCACCTGAGCGCTTTCATACTGAAAATGCAGCTCATCAACGCCACAGACACCGATCTGTGTAAGGCGTTCCCGGTCACGTTTGGCGGACACTGCCGAACTTGGTACACCTCCCTTCCTGAGGAAATAATCGAAAACTTCGAGCAGTTCACCACCCTCTTTTCCTCCAAGTTTGCGTCCCAACGAAGGAGGAAGTTAACCGTCTCTGCCCTAATCAACTGCAAACAAGGCGGAGAAGAGACGTTGACCGACTTCTATGAACGATGGAACACCATAGCATGTGAAGTGCAAGGGATATCACCAAGTGTGGCAGCGGGAAACCTGCGCATGTCAACACACAGGCGTGAGCTGCGGAGGGCGCTCATCAAAAAAGAACATGCACTGAAGGAATGGCCTGATCTGGACCGCCTAGTGAGAAAGGCGATTCTGTTGGAGGAGGCCATGATCGTGGAGGATTCCGCTAAGCGTGTCAGCGCAAAGGAGAAGCCAGATAATAAAAAGGGGGAATCGCCCAAGAAAAGAGGGCGGTCACCGGAAAGACGCAGCTATAAACCACGGTCTGCCCACCGTGACAGTTGAAGGGAAATCCTCACCACTAGCAAAGAAGAAGGAAGAGAAAGGAGAGGCGACAACAGCAATGCGCACCAGACGCATAGGAGGGAAGATGATCGATAGTGGTGTGACTGGCACCAGATTCCCACCCACGACACCACAGAGTGTCGGGAGTTTAGGGCCAGTCTGAAATACTTGGCGGCTGGAGACCTCAAAAGCCGCCTAGATACACGTCCTCACCGCCAGGAGGAGAGACACCATAGAGAGAGGTCACCAAGCCCGAGAAGAAGGTCGCGCACGCCTAAGCACAGAAGGTCAAGATCGCAAAGGAGGGAGAGATCCCCGTGGCGCGACCGCCTACCACCACCACCGAGAAGGTCACCTCAACGTCAGCCCCGACAGAATGAGGATGACATAGAAGTCATTACCATCGCTGGCGGACGGAAGCGACCCTGAAGTGAGGGTGTCGCCTAGTCCAGTGCTTGAATGTTAACAGGAGTGAACAAGTGGACATCAGTTTCTCACCCTCTGAGCTAGTGTCCGACGAAAGCGCAGAAGATCCACTAGTCATCTCCCTGAGAACAAGAAAGTTCAAAGTCACAAAGGCGTTGGTTGATAACGGAAGCTCAGCAGACATACTGTTTTACTCCACGCTAAAGAGTATGAAGATGAGCATGCAAGATCTTAGGCCGTCGACGGCGAGCCTCGTGGGGTTCTCAGGATCAAAGATCAGAGTGTTAGGCATGATCGCCCTGCAAGTAACAATTGGAGAGGCGGATGTGACGAAGACTCGAACCATGGAATTCCACGTAGCAGACTGCCCGTCAGCATATAACGCGATTCTAGGGGGCGGTTTCCTGTCACTGTTTTCCGCGGTTCCGTCCACTTGCCACCAGATGCTTGAATTCCCAGCAGGGGGAAGAGTAGGGCGGGT